GCCATGGCGATGCAGTAGCAGGCGCATGTTATAGAAAAGTCATAACTTCAAATTTCTTGAAGCAATTTAAGAACGCAGCTAAGAAACATCAAGCAAATGCAAGTAAATCTTCATCATGTGTCCTGAACTGAACTAGAAGGACCCGTGATGACACCAAACACTGTAAAGCACCTTTAAAAGTCTTTATTAGATGTGGCGTTACCCGAGGAGGGCGAGGCAGGAGACAGAGTCGGAGAGAAGGGGCGTGGGTCAAAAACCAGAACGAGGCGACGCAGGTGAAGGGAGCAGGCTAGAGGAGAGGTCAAAGACAGGCGAGGGTCGTGATGGCAGGCAGAGTCCTAGGCAGGGGTCAGGCGTGAAAACGAGGTCCGGAGGCTGTGATCAGGCAAGGTGAAAGGCTGGAAGATCTACTGGCAAAGAGCGTTCAATAATCTGGCACAGGTTGGAGAGCAGGCTGGGTGTTATACAGCAGGGGGAGCAGTGAGATGAGCTGATGACGGGGTGCAGGTGATGGTAATTAGGGGCAGCAGTAGCTCAACAGGTTGAGCGGGTTGTCCAGTAATCGGAAGGTTGCAGGTTCGATCCCAGCTCCGGACAGAGAATTCTGCTGTTGTGTCCTTGGGCAAGACACTTAACCCACCTTGCCTGCTGGTGGTGGTCGGAGGGACCGGTGGCGCCAGTGCTCAGCAGCCTCGCCTCTGTCAGTGCGCCCCAGGGCAGCTGTGGCTACATCATAGCTCATCACCACCAGTGTGTGAATGTGTGTGTGAATGGATGAATGATACACTGTAGTATAAAGCGCTTTAGAGTCCTTACTCTGAGAGGTGCTATACAAGTGCGGGTCATTTATCATTTATCATGGTAATGAAGTGGCTGAGGGCTTGACTGAGGAGGCAGCAGAGGCAGAGGAGGGTGTCAGCCTGGGAGTCATGACATTATGTTCATTGTCTTTTAATAGAAGGTAAAAAAAAATGTTGTGGAGCAAAAACACTTGGCTTTCTTATTGGGTGTAGTTTCCCGTTTACTCAGGGTAGAAGGAGGTCACCAGATCCTACGGCCCTAGGTGGGCTGTGGATCTGGTCTCTAGGTCCCTAGGTGGTCTCTCTACGTTTGTTTATTATGGCTGGCTCATCACTTTTCTTTCAAGGTTTTTTTTTTTGGGGGGGGGGGGGGTTGTTTGTTTGTTTGCTGCTCTGTGTGTGTGTGTGTGTGGGGGGGGGGGGGGGGGGGGTCTCTCTACGCTCTCTCTCTGTTTTTACAGGTTTGAAGATGACTAGGCCAGACCAGAGGGGCTTGGTGTGGGCCTGTAGTTTCTAGAGGAACTCTTTTTAGGGAGGAGGTGTTACGCGGTTGATGTTATTCAATTGTCTTTGCTGTGTGCAGTCCTGTGGGTGCAGGATAAAAGCCTGCTTGGTGCAGCTTCTGAGAGATGAGACTGATAAAAGATATCACCTGTGTAACATTTTTGGTGAGGCCTTTTTGTGGCCAAATTTTAATAAGAATACTCTAACTTACACCATGTGTTCAGCCCTCCTCCTTATGTTGTGATCCCATGAGCCGGGTCTTAACGAGTCTCTCCGTCCATCTAGCATCCAGGCTCTAAAAGAGGTTATTCTTGAACAGTGAGAAAAGATAGATGTTGCAATATGTCAACAACTTGTTCGTTCTATGCCTAGAAGACTTGGTGCTGCCCTTGAAAATCATACAAATTGCTAGATGTCGTTTTGTTGTGGAGTGTCTTTATTTTTGCTGAAACCTATTTTAGTAAAACTGAAGATTTTGTGATCTAAGTTATATCACGTTAAGAGCAAGTAACACCTAAATTAACTCTTTTTGCTGATAACCTGTATAGATTAATGTTTATGTTTATTTATTTAGCAGGCGCTTTTATCCAAAGCGACTTACAATTTATAACCTGTAGGGCATGTTGTGATCTGTGGGGGAAACCGGAGTACCCGACGGAAACCCACGCATGCATGGGGAGAACACGCAACTCCACGCAGAAAGGCCGCAGCCGAGTTTCGAACCTGCAACCTTCATGCTATGAGGCAACAGTGCTAACCACTGCGCCGTCGTCGTCGTTGTCTTTCTCCGCTTATCCGGGTCCGGGTCGCGGGGGCAGCATCCCAACTAGGGAGCTCCAGACCGTCCTCTCCCCGGCCACCTCCACCAGCTCCTCCGGCAGGACCCCAAGGCGTTCCCGGACCAGATTGGAGATGTAACCTCTCCAACGTGTCCTGGGTCGACCCGGGGGCCTCCTGCCGGCAGGACATGCCCGAAACACCTCCCCAGGGAGGTGTCCTGACCAGATGCCCAAACCACCTCAACTGGCTCCTTTCGATCCAGAGGATCAACTGCGCCACCATGTCTAAAGGTGCTGTAGACATGTGTAATCAGTAGTGTGGTAGTTTAGTGTAACTTACTTAAAATGTAATATTTCAGCCTAAATTCTTGGATTATGTCATTGGCAAGGTGAATGCTATAAGATCGCAGAGCCTGCCTCAGTCATGTGGCCCGGCTGTGGACAGTTGGTGCTGCTCTGCTTTACTCTGGCATGCAACCCCCATGAGGGGTTGGGAGACAACTTAAGCCCTCGGGCTCTGCTCTGGATGCCACCCTCCTGTCTTGTGAAAGCAGTTTGGCCTGCTATTGCCACTGACATTTGGATTATAGTTAACTCCAGCCTGTCTTGTGGTAAAGTTTCAAATAGTTTTAAACATGCCATCATTAAACCCCTTATTAAAAAGACCTGGTGTGGACACAACTGTTTTATCTAAATTTAGGCCATTTTCCACGCTTCCTTCCCTATCTAAGGTCTTGGAAAAGTTTTATTTTATTATTTTTTTTTTTTTGCAATTAAATGTTTTCCGTGATGGGAACCAGATTTTTGAGGTTTCCAATCAGGTTTTAAGTCCTGCCACAGCACTAGTTCAGGTTTTTAATAACATCTTTCTGGCTACAGATTCTGGTGAAGCTGTATTGTTACTGCTGTTGGACCTGACTGCAGCTTTTGATTCGGTTGACCGCTCCATTTTAATGTCACGTTTGGAAGATTTTGTTGGATTAAGAGGCATTGCCCTGAGCTAGTTTAAATCACATTTGTCCGATAGTTCAGTGTCTGTCAGTATTGGTGACTTTTGTTCCAAGGAGGTCCCCCGTACATGTGGTGTTCCCCAGGGCTCACTGCTTGGTCCTCTACTGTCTCTTTATATTAGCTTCCTCTGGGTGCTATTTTAAAAAAATATTGTCTGGCCTTTCTTTGTTGCGTTGACAACTGTCAAATGTATGCTCCAGTTGAGGAGGTAAAAGTGAGGATGGCCTCTAATTTTTTTAGCATAAATGAGAGCAAGACCGAAATTATCGTTTATTTATTTATTTATTTTAAACCTAGTGGGTCGTGGGCTGTTTCTCCTTCTCTCTTGGATGCATTATCACCTCGTCCCAAAGATGGCATCTCAAACTTGGGGGTCAAGGTAAACTTGGAGCTGAAATTTGATAAGCAGATAAAGTCTGTCCTAAAGACTCATTCATGCTTTTATTACCTCAAGAATAGACTATTGTAATGGTCTTTGTATTGGTGCAGAATCCAGCAGCATGTTTGCTAACAGGCACCTGTAGGTGGGATCACACCCCGGTGCTAGCTTCTCTTCACTGGATTCCAGTTGTTTTTAGAATTTGTTTTGGAATGTTTGCGCTGAGACATACATCTTTATATGGGCTGGCACCATCATACCTCTCAGACATTCTCCTGTATGATCCACCACGCCTACTGAGGTCAGCTGACCAGCTGCGGTTGGTTTTTCCAAGGGCAAGGCTGAGGCGGAGAGGTGATAGGTCTTTTGCTGTGGCTGCTCCTAGCCTATGGAATCAGCTGTCCGTCAGTATCAGGAAAGCCTCCTCGCTTGTGGGATTTAAAACACTTCTCATCACTATGTGACTGTTGCACATCCACTCTTGTTGGATTTTTTTATACCCATGTTTATTTTGTGTTTTTACCTAGTATTATTTTAGCTGTGAGGTGTTTTATTATTGGTGTGTTACTAGTTTTTTTTTTTTTTTTTTTTTTTTTTTTACATGTGCTTGCTTACTTTTAACTGTACTGCTCTTTGGTCGACAGTGTTGTGTAGAAAGTGCTATAGAACTAAAATTGGATAAAACTGTTATTATATCTCCATCTTCAGGTTAAAAACTCTGCTCCATGTTTATTTAGAATCAGCCACAGCTGATCGCTAAGCTTAAGCTAATTACTACGAGACTCCACTGCACTGGTCTGCAGCTGAGGCAGCCACACCTCCACCTGGCTCAGCCTCTCGGCCAGCCCTTGGGGACGCCACTGCATATTTGACTCCAGACTACTTTGTTTTAAATGGGTTACTCACTGATCCCAAATCATAAACCTGCCACCGCCATGCTGACTGTTGGTGTAAGCTGTTTACGTCAATTTGTTTTGTTTTGTTTTCTTTTTCTATACAGTCTAAAAAAATGTTTGCTGCTTGACCCGATAATAATGCTCAAGGTCTGTGTGGTCAAAAATAAACTTTTTGAAGACTGATAGTAAGAAAAAGGATGGAGGCTTTTCTTCTTATCTTAAGTGATCATCTCAGTTCATTCAAGTGATTTGATCCTTTTATTCTAAAATCAAATCCAATGCTGCTGCATGATGTCTATGTCCTTAAAGGGGACGGAGATGACAAAAACAATCTTTTGAGTTTTCTCTGCAGCTTTTGCGACGGTTCTTGTAACAAACATTTATGCAAAACTCTGAATTACTTTGGAAGGTTGCCAGGTTAAATGTGACTATCATGGTGATTCCATGGGGTTCTTCATCTATTGGATTGTCTCTTCCAGTTGATGTGGGTGGTAATTTATCTGTTGTTTTTGTTCTATTGCTTCACAACTCTGAGCATCACTGTACCTCGGGTTTCTGCAGGGTTTAGTGTGATTCTAACCACAATCCTGACCCATTTCTTACTTTTCTCTCTCTCTCTTGTAATTCTCAGGAGTTTGCTGCACTGACCAAGGAGCTGAACGCCTGCAGGGAGCAGCTGCTGGAGAAGGAGGAGGAGATCTCTGAACTCAAAGCAGAGAGGAACAACACCAGGGTAGATAAAGCTTCAACATGCATCCTTTAAACATTCAAAAGCTGCTTAACTTTTGGTTTTACAGCCAGTGTTGAGCAGTAGGAGCTTATCGCAGCAAAAAGGCTTTTTATTTCTCCAATGTCTGACTTTTGCACAAGCTTCTAAAAGGTTCTGCAAGTTTAGATGCCATCCATAACTGCCAGCTGCACACGGTGATAAACTACCTTCTGCAGAAGCTAAAGCTTTCCTCTGAAAAGCACCAGAAGTACTGAAGCAACCACACATGCAGCCTGTCTGTTAAACCAACAGGGTGTCCGTGGGTCCTTAAAAAGTCTTACATTTGCTTTTCCAACTTTAAGGCCTTAAAAATGACTAATGATCCTTAAATCCAGTTTCCAAAGTTCTTAAATTACCAAAGACCAAATAAACAAGATTATTTTATTTCTATAAAATTTTGTGAATTTCTAGTTAAGTGTTCAGCATTTTTTTTTGTATGATATTGGCAAAAGCGGAATCGTACACATTCAGTTGGTTGTGAAAGGGGGCTATTTTAAGTGAGCACATTGGCTGGTTAAGCTAGTGGGAGCTTGCATCATGGGCAAGTGCAAGTTTAATGGTAACTGGATGGCTAATCCCACGTTCGCAACGTGGTTAGCACCGGTTCCAGGTAATAGCTGGAAATTATAGCTTAAATTAAATTTTTAAAATTTGCTTAAATTTGGTCAATGTGGCCTTAAAAAGGGTCTTCAAAAGTCTTACATTTGGCTCATTTAAACCTGCAGATACCCTGAACCAAGATGCAGCTCATTCGAGCTCCACATTTTCCTTTTTACTTAACATTGATGGCTCTTAAACGGGAAATCCTAATGTCACCGCTGCCCGGCAGTGTCCACTTCAGCGATGATCTGGGTGGGAGGGATGAACCAAAAACATTAACAAATCAACTCAATTTTTATGGAGCTCCTCAGTTAGAAAGTATTCCCTTTAGAAACCCTTGAGCACACGCTGCTGTTGACAGATACGCCAGCTTCCCGTGCCTGTGCTGATTAAGTGTGGATTCACAGTTTTGCAGTCTTGTTGAGGCAGAGGTAGACAATTTTAGCACAGCTGACCGAGGAATCCCGAAAAAGAGAGCGACAAGGTGCAAAAACAAGTCTTTTTCACACTTTATTATCACCTCAAATCCTCTAAGCAGGCCTTAATGAAGCTCGGTTTGTCGCTGAAGGTGTTTTAGTCTATAATTAAATATTGGCATGCATGTGTAGGCAGACAGTGGACAGTTGGGATGTCTTTGGAGAAATAAGTCAAACTTTATTGGCTATTTGGGAGAAATCTCATAAGTGGACGCTTTGCACAAGCAGCTCAAACGACACACAAAAGACTGGAGAGCATTTCCTGAACAGGACGAGACTGCTGTCTGCTCAGATTCTGAGGTTAGGAGGACGTAAACACTTCCTGAGTGATTCAGCCGTGATCGTTCTGCTGAGCGTGCAGGACTATCCGTAGACCCGATGGCTGCTGATCCAGCTCAGAGAGACGATTGAATCAGACAAAGAAGAGAAGCAGCAGCACTTACTCTCCTTTCAGGGGACTTTTTCCCAGACTTGGCAGTGCAACCAGATATTCCGATGCTGCATAGATCCCACACAGTGACAGAAAGCATCTGGAAAACAGGAGGTAGTAGGAATGGCTGGTTTGCTCAGATCCAAACGGTAACGGGTTTATCCAGCACATCGATGCAGTACGAAAACTTGAACCAGGTGTTTCAGAGGAGGGACAAAAGGAAATACCACTTTGAAAACATCAATGAATAATCTTGTTTATCCTGAGATTTCACGGATGCTGCGATTTTCCCAGTCAGACATTTTTTCATACAGCTGCTCTCTGAACGGTTTGTGTCGTTCTGCTTTTCTATAAAACACCCCAGTGACTCTTTGTCCTCCCTTTTTTTTTTTTTTTTGAATCAGTTACTTCTGGAGCATCTGGAGTGTCTGGTGTCCAGGCACGAACGGTCGCTTCGAATGACGGTGGTCAAGCGGCAGGCGCAGTCTCCATCTGGGGTCTCCAGTGAAGTGGAAGTCCTTAAAGCCCTCAAGTCTCTGTTTGAGCACCATAAAGCGCTCGATGAGAAGGTAAACCTCCGACTGTGCTTCAGAGAGCCTCATCAAGGCATCAGAGGGTTTGCAGGACCCTTCAGTCTTTCATGAATGTGAAACATCCAATAATAATATACAGGTAGAGCAAGAGCATCAGAGAAGCCCAATGGGGGGAGAAAATGACTCATTTTGCTGCTTTATTGCAATATTTTCTTTATTCTAAGATTCAAGTCGAGCATCAGCAAGAAATAAGAAAATTTAGGTAAATCACTTACAGGCAGATGAATAACGCATTACTTTGATTATTTTTCAGGTAAGAGAACGACTACGAGTGTCTCTGGAGAGGGTGTCAGCCTTGGAGGAGGAGCTAACAGCAGCCAATCAGGAGGTGAGATAAATGATGGATTTGTATGGAAGTAAAACTCTAGAAACTGAGTATCTAGAGTTAGAACAGGTTTCTTGTGAATTTGAACATGTCAGAATGCTTGAAATGGCAAGGATGTGTTTGATTTAAGAGTAAAACTCCAAAGTAGATTTAGTTTCATTTTATTTGTATAAAATCTTTGGTCCTCTAACAGCATTTGAGAAACTGATGAAATCATGTGGGTGAGAATGAAACCAGGTGGTCATGATCTCTAATTACCTCTTGATAAACATAAATGTTAGTTTAAGATTAAAACTGTAGAAATTCCCATCCTTAAAAGTTCAACAAAAAATGTTTTCACAAAAACACAAAATTCTAAACACTGAAATCCAAAAGTGTATTTTTTTTGTAAACAGTATGATTTTGACGCATCAAACAATTCAGAAGTTTTATTTTTTATTTTGTTTTATTTGTTGGGAGGTTCTGAAGCTACACAACAGTTATGAACAATTCCAGTCTGGTTTTTGTAAAAAGCACTAAAAAAACAGCTTTGCTGAAAGTTTCCAGTGACATCATGATGGCTGCTGATAATGGAGAGTGTTGGACCTTTCTGCAAATTTTGACACTGTTGATCACAGACTTCGCGACTCGGTGGGGATCTCTGGAACTGTTCTAGACTGGTTTAGATCATTCCTTTCTAACAGAAGTTACAGTGTCTGTATAAACCAGATCATGTCAGATTCTACTGATCTGTTCTGTGGGGTACCCCAAGGCTCTGTTTTGGGTCCACTCTTGTTTCTACTGTGCATAGACCCTCTTGGGCAGATACTTGATTCTTTTTATATTGTCTCTAACCTATATGCAGATGATATTCAGCTGTACTTTAAGGACTCTGAGTTCTACAAACTGTCTGAATTACTAGAGTGTCTATCAGCTATCACCAGCTGGCTAGAAGATAACTTCCTTTAGTTAAACTCTGAAAAGACTGAATGTCGGATCATTGCCCCTGAGTGCATGGTTCCCTTGATTAGTCTAAAACTTGGTCATTTATCCTCTGCTGTCAAGACAAACTTAAGGAATTTGGGTGTTATTTTTGACCAATCAATGTCTCTTGAAGGTCACTCAAAAACATTGTTCCGAAACTGTTTTTATCACTTAAAAAACATCTCTAAACTGCGAAGGTCGGCGTCAAAACATGAACTTTAAATGGTCATCCATGCCTTTATCTCCTCCCGTCTAGATTACTGTAACACACTTTTTACATGTTTTAACAAAAAAGCCCTTGACCGCCTTCAGTTAGTCCAGAACTCTGCAGCGAGGCTCCTAACTGGAGCCAACAGAAGAGCTCACATCACTTCTATTCTGATGTCTCTGCACTGGTTACCCGTTAACTTTAAAACTCATTTTAGAGTCCTGACTAGAACTTTCAATGCTCTACATGGTCAAGCTCCTCCCCCCAGCAGGTCCCTGAGGTCCAGTGATCAAAGCCTACTGGTTGTGCAGCACCAGGCTAAAGACCAAAGATGACAGATCATCTGCTGCTGTGGCCCCCAGACTCTGGAACTCTCTCCCCCTGAGCCTGAGATCAGTGGACTCCTTTAAAAAGCAGCTGAAGACTCACCTGTTCAGGCTTTTGCGTGACCTTCATCACCACCCTCTTCTTATTCTGCTCTCCCCACCTATTCCGCCTTCCCCAGGATCCACTGATGTCCCTCTTTCCTATTCTCTCTCTCTGTCTCTCGCTCTCTCTCTCTCTGTCTCTCTCTCTCTCTCTCTCTCTCTCTCTCTCTCTCTCTCTCTCTCTCTCTCTCTCTCTCTCTCTTTGCATTTTTTTAATCACACTTGTCTATTTTTGCTTATATTAAACATATTTTAAATCATTTTCTAAAATCTTTTTTATATTTTAAATGTTTGGTTTTTGTGAAGCGCCTCGTGATTTTTATCTTGATAGGCGCTATAGAAAAGATTGTTTTCTTTAAATTACTGAAAGCCTTGTGCTCCAACCCGAGCCCTCAGGTCCACACACCACAACCTTCTAGAAGTTCCAGAGACCAGATATAAAAGTCGAGGTGATCGCTCCTTCCAGACCGTTGCACCCCGACTTTGGAATGATTTTCCATATCCGTACGTAGCACTGACAGTCTGGACACCTTTAAAAACAGCTAAAAGCCCTTTATTTAAAGCTGCTTTCACATACATCTTTTGTTTTCTTATTTTTAACTCAAATTTGTTATCATCTTTCACTTTTTATGGTATTTTATAATTTCATGACTTTGTTGTTCTGTTTTAAATTTTTCCATTTTAAGCTCATGATTAATGCTTGGTTTTGCTTTGATCTATGTGAAGCACTTGGTGACCTTCAATCTGTGATGAGTGCTAAACAAATATAATTTACTTACTCACTATTTTAGCAATTTCATATCAAACTGTTCTTTGTGTGCAAACTAGCCCAAATCTGTCACTCATAAAAAACATGTCCAACATTAATTAAAGGGACTTTACGGAGTTTTGAATTTTTATGCTCGTGATTGCCCCCTCAGGCCAAAAGCGTAACGGCAGCTTCAATACTAGGCTCGTGCACGAGGCGCGCATGCTGTACGTGCACACTCCTTAACAAAAGTAACAGCTGAGACAGTCCCTTGTGTGTGTGTGTGTGTGTGTGTGTGTGTGTGTGTGTGTGTGTGTGTGTGTGTGTGTGTGTGTGTGTGTGTGTGTGTGTGTGTGTGTGTGTGTGTGTGGCTGGCCCAGAGGACAGGAGAATGTGCAGCTAAATAATGTGGTTCTGTAGCTTTCTCTTCAGCACAGCCGACAAAGGTTTATGATGGGTCAGTCCTCCTGCATGCTCAGATCATTCCCTTCCCTTGCTTGAAAAATTGTTCCAAAATGAAAGTTGAATCCACATCTTTTTTATCTGTCAATTCAAATTTGGGCATCTTACTATAAAAAATATACCATTAATGTAAAAAAGAAACTCTAAATTAACTATGTTCACATCCAGAATCAAACACGAGTTTTCTGCACAGGAGTCCAACATCTTACCAGGTGAGCTATAGTGCCAACAATATACTTCTGATCTGTAACATTTATATCCTTGATGACAGCTGAAACAAAGTTCAAGGAACGGTTCGGAGCGAAAATGGCTATTTTGTTGCTAATTTGCAGGAAATATCTAGAAGAAAGTTCTACAGAAAGTAGCTAAGGGTCCTCAGAAATGTAGCTAGCTTTGTCACTAGGTGTTAGGAACAGCGACAAAGTGGCACTGCCTCTCTCTCTGCTGCTAAAGCTACTGATAGCAAATGCTACGGGTTATGCCTGAGCGTGAACGCGCATGAAGCAGCCTGCTCGACCCGAGCATCTCTCTTTTTCTGTGATTTTACAGAAAAACAGGCAATCACAGTAAAAATGCCAGGGCTCATTCTACAGGACCAGGGCATTGCAGGAGAATGTATGAAGAAGACATTTATTATTTCTATACATGTTTTGGCTGTCTTCTATAACTAACTATAACTTCCTTAAAGTCTCTTTAAGTTGTACAAATTATCTTGAAACTTCTTTTTTTTTTCTTTGTCATGTTTTTGCCTAAACAGAATCATAAAAGTATGTTCAAATCATTGTATTTATTTTACTTTTACCATATAATTCTTATCTAAAACTTACTTTTTAGACCTCGAAAGACAAAACAATTACAACTTTATAAGAAATTACAAAGTATCTGATATTTTATTCACGTTATCTCACACTTGCAGCCCTTCTGCAGCCTTTCATGAAACTGGAGACTCGTGTAAATTTTAAATTGCTGAAGAACCATCAGAACAGTCGACACGTTTTGGGCCCAAGTCCCTGTCAGCTCAGACCAGCAGCAGGTCTCTCAAACTGCAGATGGTCCCGTTCCAGCCAAGAAAATCCTTCAGGCTGCCACTTCATGACCTGTCAGACGAACCAGCACACCGCTCAGGCCTCGCATGTGAAGAGAAGGCACCAAGAAGGTTTTAGAGGTTTTGCAGTCGCTGCATGCTCTGTTGGGGAGTGGGGGAGTGCCAAAGAGTTGGAGAATGAAATAAAACGTGTCAAGGTGCAAAACCTGGCTGAGTAGAGATGGAGATTCCTAAAGTTGTTTCTCAATTTTTCACAATTTTTTGAGAAAGGCATGTTTTAAGTTGAATCACGGACATTTTTAGGGCATTGTGAGGAATTCTCACATCGTATATCCAAGGTCAGAAGGGCCGTACAGTATGGCTGTGAGGCTTCCCCTGGTATCTGGTTAACCACCAGCTGTGGACACATGAGTGATTTGGCCTTGAGGCGGCAGACAGACGGTTGACCGGCATCACTGAATAGAAATGTCTCACTTCAGAGGCTCTGGGGGAAGCGTAAGCTGGAAAACCGGTAATTGATTTTGGACAGAGGTCTTGCACAAGTGGCCTGCAGGCCATTTCACCACCGCGCCGAGCCTGATGACATCAGCAACCTTTGACCTTGCGCAGTCACAGGTGTTAAAGTGGTCTCGCATTGATATCTGCCATGGGGGTAAATGCCCAGGTAAATAGGTTGAATTGAAATTAAATGACTAAAATCACCTTGGTGTCATCTTTTTACCTCTCAGTCTGACACAGATGTGCAAAAGGAAGATGCTGAGAACGATCCTGTATTTTCTTCTTCCGTCAGCTCTCGTTCTGTCACATGTTTCTTTAAAGGGGCATTATGGAAGTTTGACAGTCAAAACATGTATAGAAATAATAAATGTCTTCTTCATACATTCTCCTGCAATGCCCTGGTCCTGTAGAATGAGCCCTGGCATTTTTACTGTGATTGCCTGTTTTTCTGTAAAATCACAGAAAAAGAGAGATGCTCGGGTCGAGCAGGCTGCTTCATGCGCGTTCACGCTCAGGCATAACCCGTAGCATTTGCTATCCGTAGCTTTAGCAGCAGAGAGAGAGGCAGTGCCACTTTGTCGCTGTTCCTAACGCCTAGTGACAAAGCTAGCTACATTTCTGAGGACCCTTAGCTACTTTCTGTAGAACTTTCTTCTAGATATTTCCTGCAAATTAGCAACAAAATAGACATTTTCGCTCTGAACCGTTCTTTGGTTTGACGTTGTTTCAGCTGTCATCAAGGATATAAAAGTTACAGATACTGTGAATGTTACTAGAGTGTAGCTCACCCTGTAAAATGTCTGACTCTCATGCAGAAGACCTGGGTTTGATTCTGGATGTGAAAATAATTTATTTAGAGTTTATTTTTTACATTAATGGTATTTTTTTTTTCAGTAAGATGCCCACATTTTTATTTGAGACTCGCCGAACGGCATTGAATTCACAGATAAAAAAGATGTGGGTTCAACTTTCATTTTGGAACAATTTTTCAAGCAAGGGAAGGGAATGATCTGAGCATGCAGGAGGACTGACCCATCATAAACCTTTGTCGGCTGTGCTGAAGAGAAAGGTACAGAACCACATTATTTTATTAATTAGCTGCGCGTTCTCCTGTCCTCTGTCCTCCGGGCCACACACACACACACACACACACACACACACACACACGGGACTGTCTCAGCTGTTTTTTTCGTTAAGAAGTGTGCACGTACAGCATGCGCGCCTCGTGCACGAGCCTACTATTGAAGCTGCCGTTACGCTTTTGGCCTGCGGGGGCACTCACGAGCATAAAAATTGAAAACTCCATAAAGTCCCTTTAAAGGGAGGTGGATGAGCAGGATCAAACAGAAATATTAGACACTTTACATCTGGCAAACTTCCTCTTTCTGTTGTATTTGAGCCGGAGACGTGTGCGGAGCTCTCCATTCGTTATTTGTTATGCTTTTATGTGCTGGTGTTGTTTGATCTCTCAGCTGAAGGAATTACACACAATCTGAGAATAATTTTAGAAGAAAGACACGGGAGACCTGATTCAGTCCTTGTTAAAACTAACGATCAGAAAAGCTGCAGCGTGCAGATCTTTGATACGCAACAGGAACCACGCGGCTCTTCTGTCTCATTTGCACTTCTGAATCGGTGCATCTTATCAAAGCCTGAGACCAACGCTCTTGACATTTGTGTCATCGATTATCTGTAGGTTGCCCTTGCTGTTTTCACAGAAAATTTTAGTAAATAAGACCATCTGTTAGCCATCACTACTCTGTTTCCAACAAAAACACAATGATTACAGATGTTTGTGCAGGAGGTTACCCAGACTGATACAGGAAGTGCTGCACAGGCTGTTTTTGAAGTTCCTGCTTCAGAGGAAGGGATTAAAGTGAAACAATTGGATTTTTTTATTGCTGAAAAACTGATTGAGGCAGAGAAGGAGGGATGAAAAGATTATCAGACACATTTTAGACTAAACTTTTGATTGGCGCATCTTATCTTACAAAATATTGGTACAAAATAGAAAAAATGTTAAAATAGCTTTCATCTCTTGTGCTGAATGTAGTTTTAGGCTTTGCAAAGATTAAAGTTTTCTCTAATTCGTGCAACAATTTAACAAAATGTATAGAATCACTGAGAGATCATTTGTGGGTTCTTTGCTGTTAAATGTTCAATTATCAAATAAAAGGTCAACCAGGACCAGGCGGCAACGGAAACTAACGTCTTCACTGCAATTCTTGATTCTATCAAGACAACTTTTGGTCTCTAAATGTTGATATTTTATTTCCGTTTTCTCCTGTTCTAGGGATTTTTTTAGAATCTATTCTTCACTTTAATGCAACTAAAATGACCTAAATCAAATCTCGGTGAATGTGAGAAGGTGTTTCTCTCTTTTTAGAGGTATTTTTGAATGTTTTGATTGCAAACAAACTCACTTTTATGCAGGCTGAACATGAAAATAGTCTCCTACACCTTTCTCCTGTATTAGCTTCTGATAGAAAATAGACGGTGAAACTCTAGGATTAGGAAAGCCTGACAGATCTACGTCACACTGTCGCTTGACTCGTGACAAGGGAGTATGTTGTTGGTTTAGCGTCCAGAGAACAACAGAGAATGTCTCTGTTAAGCTTGGTTTATGCTTGACGCATTCACTTTCCGCGCGGTGATGCGGCTCGCGGCTGGAACGCGCTTCACAACTCGCAGCGTTTATGGTTTGTGCGGCTCGTCTCTGCGGTGAGCCAATATTCTCCCAAACTGAACGGGGCAGCATGGAGCTCTACGGCATGCATCCAACACTACACCACAGTAGAAGTAGAAATTACTGTTTACAACATGGCATTTCAGCATTTTTAACAGCGTTCTCGTCTTTTCCGACAGTGCGAACTATTTCTCTCCAAGAATTATTAACAACATGTTGATCACGGTGATCTCTGAGAGCTGAATCATACAAATGTCTGTATTTACGAACCTCTGCCGTGCCGGTCCGCCATGTTTTTCCGCGTCCGACCGTCCGCGTGGTTAGAAATTTTCCGAGGTGCGCGTTGCGGAAATCTTGGGCCGTGCGGAGACGCGGTGGAGGGGCGTGGTTGTTAAAATGACGCAAAATGACGCAACTTTTCCGCGCGGAGCCGTGCGGACCTCGCGGACGCGTCAAGCATAAACCAACCTTTAGCAGTGTCAGACAGTGTTATGGGGAGGGGGGGGGGGGGCTGCAGCAGGACACCAGCCGTTCGACCTCCCACCGCCACCTTTAACATGTTTCTGGAATACATTTTAGGTTCCTGATTACACCTTTCATCTAAATTCTTGATCCTACAGATTGTTGCCTTACGAGAGCAAAACGCTCACCTCCAGAGAAAAGTTGCATCCGGAGACGGAGGAGAGGATGTCCTGGAGGGCAGCGAAGTGAATCAAAAGCTCCACGGAAAGGTGAGATTGTCTAGAAAATAAAGCGTAGCGCGAAACCAGGTTATTAGTTCATCTTTAGGGTTGCAAACATTTAATTTTTGTTTTCTTTTTTCACCCAATTCAAGTTCCCTCTGCTTTTCAGTTTAAAAGCAGGTATCTTCCTCCTTATACACTTTATCACCCGATGCTGTTTTTTTATCAGCAGCATCCGAGCACCAAAACCTCAGAACTGGAACACATTTACATGCAAACAGCAGCTAAAGATACCTGGATAGATCAATGAAGATGCTATTACTTGGCTGGTCTGCTGCAGGCTGCAGCTTGAGGTTAAAATGTCAGGAAAAAGACGAGGCGTGTGCACGCTGAGGCATGAGGTAATGAGGAGACCGCTATCGTCTGCCCTGTGTTGAGGAGATAAAAGGACGGAATATGAATGCAGGTTGTTTGCTGCATGTTTATGTTTGGGTGTTTACTCAAACACTCCTAACCTTGCAGTGATGAAGAGGGTTAGTTATTCAACATCACTGCAATCGAGGAGGCTCACAGAGGCCCGGCAGTGATGACGATTGGTGGAGAGTGACAGCCTGTCCACCTGATTTAGGGGACATGTGCTCGTGTTCGATGTCTGCGTTAATGTGACGGGTGGAAAGAGGTCAGGGAGAGTGGAGACGGTCCGGGGAGCAGAGGAGGTAAAAGTCGTCTGTCAGAAACATTTTTTTGTTTAGATCTTTTTAGGATTTTATTGTGCAGATTTGTGCTCCCACCGTTTCACACAGTCCAAATATTTCTTCATTAGAATTATAAAATACAGAAATATGATGGTTAAAGAGTCAGAGAAGTAGTAGCTGGTGAAAAAAAGCTTAATAAGTATTCAAATGAATGGGTGAATAACAATTCCAACCATTCCTTTCTCTCCTCTGAATGAGAAGTTACATTTACAGATGAAGTAGACTACAGTTGTAGTAATACTCGAATAAAAACACAAGCTTAAGGTGTGAACCTTCAAGAGAAAGCGCAGTCAGTAATCCTGTGTGTCTCAATCGTCTGCTCAAAGCGCAATTCTCGTCTTGGCCAGTATGACACGGCATATGTTGAATTAGATATGCTGTTTCAAACACTCTAATCCCATAAAATGAGAATAAAAAAGCACACTTAACAGCTACAGTTATGGTTTCAGCTGGATATTTAACCAACAGTGAGTTTGTGAATGAGGAAGTGACAGAGTCAAAATGAGATCCAGCACCTTCTAGCATGCTAGCTAGTTGTTTTCTGTAAGCTGGGGCAAGGTTGGCCAATGCCTCAGAGACAATCAGTTCACGGATGCTGATTGGCCCAAAGTTGTCCAGTTCTGCCTAGCAACCGAATATGATTGGCTGTTTAGCTGCATTTCAGAGGAGCATTTCCCAGTGACCCTTGGGGTGAAACTAGTCCAGTGGAGGTAGCGATGGGTACCGAATTCGGTACTTTTTAAGGTACCGACCGAATTCCACAGTACCGACTGGGCACCGATTCACGTCATTTGAAACGGTGCCTCATTTCGGTACCCGTCCTTCATAACGAAAACTTGCCTAGACAGCTGCGCATGCGCAAGAGCGTTGGATGAAAGGAAAACAACAAAAATAATGTCGGAGCGCACATGAAACGTTTCAGGATGTACTGGGAATTCCCAGACTTTGAACGAATGCCAAATATATCCGTAGCCCGCAGTTCGATCAAACAGAGGACAGCTGCACACTTCCTTTTCCACGCCCCCCCCACACACACACACCCCGCTTTAGACCAGTCGCAGCACCATCACCTCCTTTCCTTGATTTTTATGGGTCACACACACACCTTGTCATACACACTTTTTTTTCTCAGGCAACATCATAGAGCCATCAGCGTAAATCAGCCAATCAGCACACAGCTCATTTAATTTTCATATCTTAGCCGAGTGGGCGGGATTTACTAGTCTTCCCATGATGGGGCTTTATGATGGGGATGTGTTTGGGCGTTTATAAGGATTCCAGAGTAATTGTGAGCTCCCATAAAGTTTCACATGTTAGAGGCTCAGTGAACAGTTTCAATTGTAAAAAAAAAAAAATTAATAAATAAAAATAAAGTTAATCAAAGACACATTTAATGTTAATAAACAGATTAGGTGTTTCTGTTCCGCTCCTTTCTAGCAAACCCTACACCTAAAAAAAAAATGGGGAGAAACTTCCGATTTTGTCGCTTTTTCCCCCCAGCGTCTGTCCAACGGATCTCTGGAGTCGGCCCGAGAGGCCAGCCAGGTGGTGGAGCTGCAGGACCTTTTGGAAAAGCAGAACTACGAGCTGGCCCAGATGAAGGAGCGCATGTCGTCGCTCTCCTCCCGCGTGTCCGAGGTGGAGCAGGAGCTGGAGACGGCCCGCAAGGACCTCATCAAGTCAGAGGAGATGAACAACAAGTACCAGAGGGACATCAAAGAAGTAACCACACACACACACACACACACACACACACACACACACACACACACACACTTGTCAGCAAATAGCATGCACAACGCAGCTACAAGAAGGACATCAAAGCAGTCCTCCAGTGGACTAAAAATGCTCCTATTTGCATACAAGCTACACTCCATCCAACTTCAGGACTGCATCACAAAAAGACCAAAAGTCTTTTTTACTGTGCTTGGCACGGGTAAGAAAATTCCATGTTGTCGTTCTTTTTTAAAACACAGAAACGGTTTTGTTGCCTGTTGTTGACGCTACAGTTTCGCCGACGGCTGCCGGCTTCTTCAGGCTGACGCTGAAGGACCACGCATGGGACTGCATCGTCAGAGAGGGGAGAGCGGGCAGTAGAGGGCGACAACGCCCTCTACTGCCCACAGATAAACGGAGAAGGAAGTGACGCGCCACCATCAGCGTCAGCCTGAAGAAGCCGGCAGCCAAAAAATAAAAATAAATAAACAAAAAAAAAAAAAAAGCAGGCAGCCGTCGGCGAAACTGTAGCGTCAACAACAGGCAACAAAACCGTTTCTGTGTTTTAAAAAAGAACGACAACATGGAATTAGAAATAACGCACAGCAAGAACACACCTAAGATGGGTAAGAAAATCTCCAGAACATTCAGTTTATTGCTTTAAAAAGAAGAAATGAATCCATCGGCGTCAGAAAGGACCAGTTTCTGAGTCTCCTCCTGGGTTCTTGCAGCCTAGAAATCTTAACCGACAGCTAACAGAGTTTTCTCTGCAGGTCTATATTTGCAGGTAAAGGATGCAAATGGTTCATGGTGGCGAATTGTTCCTGTAGCCCGAGACCCCGGATGACCTTTAGCTGAAATTACTATTGATTGCTAACAATGTGGGGAGACACATTTATAGTGGCCCGATATGGAGGACTGGTGCTGCCTCATCTGAGAGCAACGGTTTAATTCAGCATTTGTAAAAAAAAATATCACGTTTCGTCTCGTTTTTGAAATGTGTGCTCGCACGTTTTTGTCTCCAGTAATGCCGCATGCAGGAAGCAAACTCCCATAGTGTTGAAGAGGAAGCAGTCAGCTGTGTGAGATAAGAGCACAGCTGTGTTTTTGTGTTTTATGAAGCCTTACTGTCGCCGTTGGAACTGGACAGGCTTTGTGCACGGATCAGCGGTGCAGCAGTCGCAATCGTCATCTAGATGCTCAAGACTGAGTTTGAGTTCGTTTACCTACATTATGGACGTTGGCACAAAGACATAAATGAAAATGTTTCATTTTAAAGGCAAATGTGAAATATAGCTGCAGGTTTTTAGACTTTGTGCTTTTGCAGGTCATGTGCCAGAAGGAGGACATGGAGGAGCGAATCGTGACCCTGGAGAAACGCTACCTGAGCGCCCAGCGAGAGGCCACGTCTGTCCACGACATCAACGACAAGCTGGAGAATGAACTGGCCAATAAAGAAGCGTTCCTCAGACAGGTCAGTAAAACTCCTACAAGGACGTGCAAGATCCTCAGCATGGAACCAGTCGGTGATTGGTGTTTTTTTATTTATTTATTTATTTTGCTTTGGGTCCAGTTGGCAAATGAAATATTTTCAGTTTTCCAATTTTGTTTTTGATTAACTCATTCACTGCCAGCCGTTTCCTGATCGCTAACGGCCTTCGCTGCCAGCGTTTCTCACCGTTTTTACTGTTTTTTTAAGAGTCACAGAACGTTGCGCGCTAGCATGATGTCGATGCCAAAACAACCTAAACAAAGAGGAGACTCACCTCTTACATCAGGAAGAAGCCGTGTGTTTCGAGCGTTATCCGTTCTTTCATAATCCGTTGTCGAATTCTGGTCGGCAGACGCTTTTCCGGTTCGCGCCTCACTTTTTTGACAGGAACGGCCCAAAACGATCTCCAAACACATGGATGTGTTGTTTCCTGATCATGTGATCTGTGACGTATGCGGATGAAGATCGGCTTCAGGGCTGAGATGTTTGTTGTCTCAGCGCGGGGGATCGTTCCAATGCTCAAACAGTAAAAAAATGCAAATGACGACTTTAGTCATCAATGGCAGTGAATGAGTTAAGAAAACAATCAGGTTCCAAAGCAGCTGGTTGTGTGATTAATACCACAAATCCATGGAGGTTCGATGAGGAGAAGCCGATGTGTTTATGGCGCAAAAACCTGGCCCTCCAAACAGAAAGATGATAGTTTGACACGAGATGGTGAGAAAGCCGGTATCAAAGGGATGAAACACAAACTGTTATGCCTCCCCAGTGCAGCCTCAGATACTACTGGGATCCCGGTGTGACTTCAGACAGACACAGAGAACAGCTCACCCCCGTAGGACTTTACTACTAAACCATCCGGCTGGATGCTTCAGGGATCATGGCGTCCATCAGTCTGATCTAAAAAAAATGGTCCTGAAACTGATCCCAGCTGCAAACGAGGCCTCACATGTGACCAGACTGACTCAAAGAGCACTTGTGGTGTTTCTGTTTTTGTGTAAATGTAGATGGAGGAGAAGAACCGGCAGCTGCAGGAGAGGCTGGAGCTGGCTGAGCAGAAGCTCCAGCAGACCATGAGGAAGGCGGAGACGCTGCCCGAGGTGGAAGCAGAACTGGCCCAGAGGATCGCCGCCCTCACTAAGGTAGAAGCACACACTCCTACTCCTCTGGATCTGCGTGCGGGAGCGTGGCGTCATGCCATGACATTTCAACATGTCCCTCTCCTCTTCCTCGGTCACGTAGTCCGACTCCAGCTCCTCTTCCTCCCCCGATGATTGTCACTTTTTTATGGAATCTAAACTCCAAGACATGAACTCCATTCTTAGGAAGGTAGTCAAGAAAAGACAAGATCTCACTGTTTTATTCTGATTTGCTGGGTTTACTGGGATTCTGCTGTGGCTCTTCTAACACCACAGGACAGCTGCATGGCACTTCTGGCTGGAGCTCATTCTTTACCACGCTGGAAGCTCTCTCTCTCTCACACGTTGTTTCCCATTCTTGTCTCTCTATACCTTAAAAACAAAAGCTGTCCCTCTCTGACTTTGGGGTTAGGTGCTTGGCTGGTGTCGTTTCCTCTGCTTCTCGTTGTCACCTCTCAGGCTGTGGAACAGGCGCATCAACCCGGCCTTTTTTCTGTCCTGTCTGTGCTGTAACCCATCTGTAGGCGGAGGAGCGTCACGGGAGCATCGAGGAGCGGATGAGGCACTTGGAGTGCCAGCTGGAGGAGAAAAACCAGGAGCTGCTCAGGGTGAGTCACTTGCGGAGGAGTCGTGCCAGGCAGCCAGAGCCTGACAGTTTGATGCGACAACAACCAACGGCACATTTTCCTGATTTATCACCAGTGAAGCTCGACCAGATGAGCTGCTCACCCACTCTGCTTTCAGAGCGCTCCCTAAAAGGTTCACAGATCCACGAAGTCATGTTCCGTTCGTGTTCGATTACGTGAGCATCTTTACACGGTCCTGCTGCTGAATCAGTTTAAAAGATGAGCACGATGGCTGTTCAACCAGCATTAAACAACACAGCAACACAGTTCCTCCGCCCTGCTGGTCAAAAGCTGAATAACAACTGTTGTGAACAGCCCTGCAGCAGCCTGCTGTGGCTAGTAGAAGCCAACCATTAGCATTAGCTATTTCACCACACAGCAGAACTCCTCCAGGCTTGCGTTATTTGTGGAGATAAAACATTAGAGCAGAGGAAACCGTCAGTGGTTGTCTCATTGCTGTTATCCAACAGAGGTGAGATGTCAAAACGTCAGGAAATAAGACTCCAAATGCTGCCGTGTGAAGCTTTCCTCTGATGTGGCTCACTTCTAGTTCCTCAAACGGGCGCACCAGAGCTTTTTTCACCTGAGAACGATGTACAAGCATGGACGTAATTTTTTGGGGGGGGACAGGGGGGACATGTCCCCCCCATGTTTTCCAAAGTCAAGTTTGGACCCCGGCACTTTTTACCATCCAAAAACAATATTACGCTATATTAAATTGACACTAGTTGAGCTCTAGGACCAAGCAGAAAACAACCGTTTGTGTTGAAGCCTGTTTCCCATTAAAACATGCTGTAAAGACCCCCCCCCCCCCCCCCCCCGGTCCCCCCCCCCCCCCCCACACACACACACACTTCTAAAGTGAAAATTACATCCATGTGTACAAGACATTCATTACTGCTGAAGACCACTGCAAATGTATTACAAATATGAGTAAAGTTGATGTCGAATTAAACAAACACTTTGGTTTAATTGTTTGAAAGTAGGACTGGGCGATATGGCCTTAACATCAATATCACGATTTATTGAGGATTTCACCTCGATAGCGATAAAAGGACGATAACTACAGGAATGCGCAGAAACTAAAGTTGTCCATCAGATGGGGCTGTCGCGTGTATTACGTGGAGTCACATTTTTACGTGACACAAGGTGGTACAGCGTCTTAAAGGGACATTAACGTTGCCAACCTGCACACATCTTTTCACTTTTTTTATTAGTAAATTTATTGACATGGGAAAAATGATCTCGATAAGAGTCAGAAATTTTGCTGACGATAATTTTTCGATTTATTTGAAAGTGGAGTTAAATTTCTCAAAAGTAAATAAATGTTAATCGCATGAAAAGCTGAGTAAACCAGTAACATTATGAGGCTACTGTCCTAATGGGTGTGACCCCACCAGGAAAGTTGACCATTGAGCAGGGTTGATGGTTTATCCCTTGGGTCCACGTGGCAGGGGTGTGGAGTGAGCACCACCTCACCCCTGCCACGTGGACCCAAGGGATAAACCATCAATCCTGCTCAACGGTCACCTTTCCTGGTGGGGTCACCCATAAAGACAGTGGGAGGGTTATCAGGAGAAACTTTGTTAATAAAGCACATTTTACAGATAAAAACCAGGAAATGCTTCCCAAAAACAATAAACTGATCCAATAAGACAAATTCCAACCCCAGATAAGGGACAGAGGACACCATTAGGAACCAGTCTACTAAAACTAAAAGCTTGTGTCTTATTAATATCCATAACTAAAGTAAGATGGTAAAAACAGTCTCTTCTTTTCTTTAAGCTGATGTTTTGTTTTGACCTACAGGCTCGCCAAAGAGAAAAGATGAACGAAGAGCACAACAAGCGACTGTCGGACACGGTGGACCGACTCCTCACCGAGTCCAACGAGCGTCTCCAGCTCCACCTGAAGGAGAGGATGGCCGCGCTGGAAGAGAAGGTTGCAGAAGAAGATCTTATCGGTTCTGTTTGAAGGAAGTCTTCTCAATTCTGTTTTTTTTTTCCTTTGCAGAACGTTTTAATCCAGGACTCTGACGGATACAGGAAACAGTACGAAGAGTCGATCCATGAAAAAGTAGGTTGCACACATCGAGAAGTGATTAGTTCTTTTCATTTCAAAGCTTTTTGCATTTTCATGAGTTGGCTGCAAAACGTGGCTCTTTATTGGGGGAATAATGTGGCTGGTGGCTTTAGTTTCATTTTTTATAAACCTACCATTAAATATTTATACGTCTCAGCTGTAAGTTATCACGAGCAGCATCAAATACGATAGAAATATCCTCTATGAGAGGATTCAGCCCCTCTGGCTCCTCGTTTTTGGACCTGCCACCGAGTGGTTTACTGGTGTGATCATCCCCAGGACGTATAACACCACACACATTAATGATGTTGTCAAATTGTTTTGTCCAGTCTCAGCTGGCAGAGGAGATTGAGAAGCTCAGAGCAGAGCTCGACCAGTATAGATTGAGGGCAGGCTCCCTCACAGAACCCACTCTTTCACGGTAGGTTGGCTATGGGGTTGTGTGCATGCATGTGTGCATGCATGCATCACCATGTGTGTGTGTGTGTGTGTGTGCACAAGTCATGCAGTTTGTGTTGTCCTGTTATAAGATTTAATCCAGATAATTCTGCAAATTAGCTGGGTTGATTCTTTTACTCCCCTGTTCCTGCCGTTTTAAGGATGAAATAACAAGGATCCATGCATAGTTACCGTTGCTAAGGGAAGGATGTAGCCTTTGCCTTTTTATTGCTACAAAATGATCATGAAACCAAATACCCTGCAACAAAGTGGGTTTTTTTCTGCTGTTTTAGCCACTAAAAGTGTGGTACATTAAATTAATAAACCATTATTTTAGTTTATTTAAATTGCACATCAAACATTTGGTTGACTGCTATAATATTTGCAATTTCAATGTTGCTACTTCCCACAGGGACTGCATTATAACAACACAGTAGTGAAAACAGTAAAACTTTCCAACTGCAATGCATAGACTCTCCACATGAGGGCAGAATAAATGTAGATGATTGAGCACAGAAGGAAGTTTCTCAGGAATGTACTAATCCTGTTTCAGAGACAGGGGCTTAACCCAATTAACTTTTTGGTTTCGGGGTTGCTATTTAATAATTATGTTTCAATTCTCGACAGAAAAAAAGGACGTTCGGGTGCAAATGTGCTTTATGGAATTTGTGTTCCAGGTCTCATCTCGACACGTCGGCTGAGCTGCGATTCTCTTTGGGATCGCTGACTGAAACCCAGTCGGACCACTACCGCTCAGCCAAAGTCATCCAGCGGCCAAGAAGAGGGCGAGCTGGTCTGCGTGAGGCAAAGGTGACTAGTTCATCTGCAGCTCATCGGCTTTTTTTATTCGCTTTCTGGCAGACACATCACATCTAGTGTTAAGTAGCTTTTTACTATACTTGCATGTCAGATCTATTAAAGATCAACTTTACTTAATTTTTAATGCATTTAATAAAAAGCTCAGATGCCCGTGTTTCAGGAAGTAGAAGTCAACAGGAGGAAAAAGTGGAAGACGCTGCAGGATGGATAACAGCAACTCGGCTTTACGACTTACTCGGTTTGCTCTGTAACGCTGATCAAAGCAAAGCAAATTTTATTTATGAAGCGTTTTTCATGTAACGAGCGCAACTCAAAGCGCTGTACAATATGAAAAACAACCACACAGCAGTCAATTTCCCACCCCTCCCCCATAGATCAACATCCAACAACTCCTTCAGCGCAAGTCTTGAGGAGTTCTGCCGTGTGGTGGAGTTGCTAATGCTAACTGTTAGCTTCTACTAGCCGAGATGTTCTCTGCTGTTTCCTGGACGCTAAACCAACAGACGCTAATGCAGGAATCTTGGGTAGAAGTTGTCGTCGTCTTCCTCCTCTTATCCGGGTCCGGGTCGCAGGGGCAGCATCCCAACTAGGGAGCTCCAGACCGTCCTCTCCCCGGCCACCTCCACCAGCTCCTCCGGCAGGACCCCAAGGCGTTCCCGGACCAGATTGGAGATGTAACCTCTCCAACGTGTCCTGGGTCGACCCGGGGGCCTCCTGCCAGCAGGACATGCCCGAAACACCTCCCCAGTGAGGCGTCCAGGAGGCATCCTAAACAGATGCCCAGACCACCTCAGCTGACTCCCTTTGATCCGGAGGAGCAGCGGTTCTACTCCGAGTCCCTCCCGAATGTCCGAGCTCCTCACCCTATCTCTAAGGCCGAGCCCGGCCACCCTACGGAGGAAACTCATTTTGGCCGCTTGTATCCGTGATCTCGTTCTTTCGGTCATTACCCAAAGCTCATGACCATAGGAGAGGATTGGAACGTAGATCGACCTGTAAATCGAGAACCTGGCTTTCTGGCTCAGCTCCCTCTTCACCACGACAGATCAGCTCGGCGTCCGCATCGATCTCCCGATCCCTCCTACCCTCACTCGTGAACAAGACCCCGAGAGACTTCAACTCCTCCACTTGAGGTAGGACCTCTCTCCCGACCCAGAGTTGGCAAGCCGCCCTTTTCCAGGTGGAGAGGTTTGGGTAGAAGACTTTTCACATTCAGCCTATGTTAAAGTGATTGTTTTCAAAAATAATAAAAAAAAAAAAAAGGTTTCTCAGTGAAACTGCCAACAAATCAACTTTTTTGCTGATAAATGAGCTTTATTTATTTTTTGGGGGGAGTGAAAACAATTTATTTTTTCAGGGAATGCTATTATTTAAATGTAGACATGGTTTACGGTTAGACTTCTGTGTCTCCAGGAGTAAAATACATCATGTTTGTCTGATAAGTAAATTTAAAAGTTGGATCTGGAGACAGATTTTGATTTCCTCTTCATATAATTAGCGACCCTCTCCCTGGGCTGCCACCTTACCGTGGTGGAGGGGTTTGAGTGTCTCAGTGATCCTAGGAGCTAAGTTGGCTGAGGCTTTCTTCCTCTGGTAGGGTCACCCATGGCAAACAGGTCCTAGGTGAGGGATCAGACAAAGAGCATCAGCTTATGATGAATTATAGAAATGGAAACCGTGTTCCCTCGCCCAGACGTGGGTACCGGCAGTCCTCAGAGGGACGTTTGACCACGTCCCTCGGGGGGCCCTGTGGGGAGTACTCTGGGAATATGGGGTACCAGGCCCTCTGATATGAGCTGTTAGGTCCCTGCATGACCGGTGTCAGAGCTTGGTCTGCATTGCCAGCAGTAAGTCGGGCTCATTCCCAGTGAGAGTCGGACTCCGCCAAGGCTGCCCTTTATCACCGATTCTGTTGATAACCTTTGTGGACAGGATTTCTAGGTGCAGCCAAGGTGTGGAGGGCATCCGTTTTGGTGGCCTGAGGATCAGGTCTCTGCTTTTTGCAGATGATGTGGTTCTGTTGGCTTCATCAGAACGTGATCTTCAGCTTTCGCTGGAGCGGTTCGCAGCCGAGTGTGAAGCAGCTGGGATGAGAATCAGCTCCTCTAAATCTGAGACCATGGTGTTGATTCGGAAAAGGGTAGAATGCCTTCTCCGGGTCAGGGATGAGGTCATGGTCCAAGTGGAGGAGTTTAAGTATCTCGGGGTCTTGTTCACGAGTGAGGGAAAACTGGAGCATGAGATCGATAGGCGGATTGGTGCTGCATCTGCAGTGATGCGGGTGTTGTACCGGTCTGTTGTGGTGAAGAGAGAGCTGAGTCAGAAGGTGAAGCTCTCGATTTACCGGTCGATCTACGTTCCTACGCTCACCTATGGTCATGAGCTTTGGGTAATGACCGAAAGAACGAGATTGCGGATACAAGCGGCCGAAATGAGTTTTCTCCGAAGAGTAGCTGGGCTGTCCCTTAGAGATAGGGTGAGAAGATTGGTCATCCGGGAGGGGCTTGGAGTAGACCCGCTGCTCCTCCACATCGAGAGCAGCCAGTTGAGGTGGCTTGGGCATCTGGTCAGGATGCCTCCTGGACGCCTCTCTGGTGAGGTTTTCCGGGCACGTCCAACCGGGAGGAGACCTAAAGGAAGACCCAGGACATGGTGGAGGGACTTTGTCTCTCACCTGGCCAGGGAATGCCTTGGGATTCCCCCGGAGGGGCTGGCCCAAGTGGCTGGGGAGAGGGAAGTCTGGGCCTCTCGCCTTAGGCTACTGTCCCCGTGACCCGATTCCGGATAAGCGGATGAAAATGGATGGATGGATGGATGGATGGATGGATGGATGGATGGATAATTAGTGACATCTGAAAGCAAACATAGATTTGTTCCATTTGTGAAATAACTCCTCTGACAAATGCTAATGATCATCCTTTCTGTGTGCAGGCGAAGTCCCTGGGGGAGCACGAGTGGCGCTCGCAGCAGTTAGGGGTCCTGGGGGGCCACCACTTTGAGAGCGACACCGAGATGTCGGACATTGATGACGATGATCGGGAAACGCTGTTCAGCTCCATGGACCTTCTCTCGCCCAGCGGCCACTCCGATGCACAAACTCTAGCCATGATGCTGCAGGAGCAGCTGGACGCCATTAACAAAGAGATCCGGTAAGTTAAACTACACCCTGGCAACGCTTCACCTTCTGGTTTGCATCACCCTAACAGAAACTCAGCTGCAGCTCATAATCACGAACCCTGGAAGTTCAGCTCTCAGCTAACTGGAGTTCGATCCTAGCTGTAGTTAAAACAGATGAGATGGCTGTTAGCCTTTAATTAGTTTGCTTCACACTTTAGGTATTTAGGGGATTTAGTTTGAACAAATCTCAGGAAATCCACCTGCAATAAGCTGAACATTAATGGAAATTCTGTGGCAATGATTCTGTCGTTTGTGCTTTTTGGTCTATTAAACTGTAGACCCTTAACACAAACGTCAACGCAGAAGGGCTTTATTACTGGTATCTCGGTATCCTCTAATTGTCCAGTTTAATCTGTGAGCTGAAGAAACATCTCTCATTGATCTCCTCCTGCCAGGCTGATTCAGGAGGAGAAAGAGTCGACGGAGCTGCGAGCAGAGGAGATTGAGAACCGGGTTGCCAGCGTTAGCCTGGAGGGGCTCAACCTGGCTCGTATGCACCACCACGGAGCCTCCATCACGGCCTCGGCCACTGCCTCCTCCCTGGCTTCGTCTTCTCCACCCAGCGGGCACTCCACACCAAAACTGGACCCTCGAAGCCCAGCCCGCGACATGGAGCGCATGGGAGTAATGACTCTGGTGGGTTGCCAGTTATCATTGTTTGTGTGGTTGTTACTAAATTATGTTCTAAAGAAAAGTAGGAAACCACACTCTGCCCTAGAGATGGGAGCTTTTTGATACTTGGAGTAAGAATTTGAGGAAAATGATCTGAGATCTTGGTGTAATTAATGAGATGCGTTCTAAAAGGTGAAGAAGTTTGATGATCTGTACATTCGACCATCTTGTTTCCATCTCTCTGTGCAGCCCAGTGACCTGAGGAAACACAGGAGGAAGGTACGACTTGGCATCTTCCCTTTCTAAACTCATAAATCCTGTTTAATAGAGGCTGTTACGACACACTGAGCAAACTTTTGACTTGCCAGTGTCCAAGGTCTGGAATAATGCCCCTCCCCCTCGTGTCCTCGTTCCACAGATTGCAGCTGTGGATGAGGACGGCCGAGAGGACAAGGCCACCATAAAGTGTGAGACATCTCCCCCTCCGACGCCGCGCTCTGTCCGAATGACGCACACACTGCCAGCCTCCTCGCACAACGACGCCCGAGGGTTTGTTTCTGCTCAACTATTCATCCATCCGTTTTCATCCGCTTATCCGGAGTCGGGTCGCGGGGGCAGTAGCCTAAGTCGCGAGGCCCAGACTTCCCTCGCTGTGTGTGTGTGTGAGAGAGAGTGTGTGTGTGTGTGTGTGTGTGTGTGTGTGTGTGTGAGAGAGTGTGTGTGTGTGTGTGTGTGTGTGTGTGTGTGTGTGTGTGTGTGTGTGTGTGTGTGTGTGTGTGTGTGTGTGTGTGTGTGTGTGTGTCTGTGTGTGTGTGTGTGTGTGTGTCTGCTCTGTCTTCTCGATCCCCAGTGAGTCGTGGAGGATGGCTGTTTATACTGAGCCAGGATCCTCTGGAGGTTTCTTCCTGTTAAAAGGGAGTTTTCCTCTCCACTGTCGCTGCATGCTTGCTTAGTATGAGGATTGCTGTAAAGTCACTGACACTAGTCAGTGACTTGATGTAATTTGCTGGGTTCCTTATATAGGAAACTTTATTTCTGATTGGCTTAATGAACTGTGAATTGGAATGTTTATTATGTGAAGTGCCTTGAGACGACTCTTGTCGTGATTTGGCTCTATATAAATAAACTTGAATTGAATTGAATTGATTGCTCAACTAATATTTACAAAACCAGATTCTTTTCATTTTTTCTCATTCTTGTTTTTCAGCTCAGTGGACTTGGATTAATTTTCTGTGTTTTTCTATTCTCAGGATCGTGGCCTCTCTGGAGGCTGAAGCTAGCGCTTTAAGTAGCGTCGCCAGCAGCCAAGATTCACTCCACAAGCAGCCTAAGAAGAAGGGGATCAAGTCCTCCATCGGACGGCTCTTTGGGAAAAAAGAGAAAGGCCGACTGGCTCATCTAGCACACCGACAGGTCATGGTAGATCCACAAGGTGAGCGCTGCTGGTTCACACGATAAAAGTTGAGCTAAAATCACTGCATGCATTTTTTACCATGGACTTTCTGCAGGATGATGAATGAGTTACTCGCACTGACTTTTGGCAGGCCCTTAAATCTGCATCGGCGTCTATTTGGATTGGTTCATGGATGAAAACAAGGCTAGGACGTTTCCTAATAACAATTAAATAAATAAATAGGGTTAACATTGAAATGTTTGTAGGGAAACTCATTTAAAGGGTAATGCTTTAAATGTATCATATTACTATATTTAAATAACTAGATATGGCACAGTCCATGTCTGCACAATATTTAAACAAGTAGTTAATAAATGTAATATTATAGCAATGAACTAAAATCATCCAGTTTTGTAAAAGCTTATTAATGTGTAAGAATGACAGAGAGCTCCGCCCCTCCCCTGTCAATGCCAACAGGGGGTAAATAACAAAGTATTGAGATGGACTTTTGTTAATGGCCAAATATTTAAATTCTTTAAAAATCAGAAAATGCGATTTTCAGGATTTTTTCTCATTTTGTTTCTCATAGCTGCGGTGTAGCTGTGATGAAAATGGCCGGCTTCTCGCATCTTTTTAAGTGGGAGAACTCGCACAAATGGTGGCAGACTAATTACTTTTATGCCCCTCCCTTCTTTGTTCAGGTGGTCGCATCTTTTTTTGCTGCGTCATCAAATCAGAAAGTCTTTCTTAACTCATTCGCTGCCAGCGTTTCTCACCGTTTTTACTGTTTTTTTAAGAGTCACAGAACGTTGCGCGCTAGGATGATGTCGACGCCAAAACAACCAAAACAAAGCGGAAACTCACTTCTTACATCAGGAGGAATCCGCGCGTTTCGAGCATTATCCGTTCTTTCATAATCCGTTGTTGAATTGTGATCGGCAGAAGCTTTTCCGGCTCGCGCCTCACTTTTTTTACGGCAGCGGCCGAAAACGATCTCCTAGCACGTGGATGTTCTGCTTCCTGATCACGTGACGTGTGACGTACGCAGATGAAGATCGGCTTTAGAGCTGAGATGTTTGTTCTCACGGTGCGGGGGCTCGTCCGACGCCCACACAGTAAAAAAAATGCAAATGACATTTGAATTTAAAATGACGACTTTAGTCATCAATGGCAGTGAATGAGTTAATAAACATAAAAAGTAGTATAATAGTATTAGTATAATCTGAAACAAAAGTAGTTTTAATCTCATAACCTGATTGATTTTATAACACATTTACTCATCCAATCGAGTTTTTGTTTTATTTTTACTAACAGCAGCTTCTCTTCTTCATCAGCTACAATGATGGACCAAGACGTGTCGGGTCAGGACGTGGGGGTGGGCAAGTTGGGAACTCAGGCTGAAAAGGACCGCAGATTGAAAAAGAAGTAAGCTGTAATCCACCTCACAGGTTGCCATCACAACAGTTTCATCTGGATTTACACTCACTGCTACATTCCAGTCTAATCCATCCTAAGCTGTGAAACGCAGACCGCAGACATGGCCTCTGTCTACTGTGTTTACCTCACACACTCCACCTGTGCTGTGTGTAATAGCAGATCTGTGTTGAGAACAGGATCAATAGCGAGCAGAAGCTGGATCGGTGTCCAGGAGCCGATATCTGTCTCTGCATTCGGACACTGAGCCAAAGTCAGACTATTGATCCAGCCTGAAAAGCCAATTAATCTCACACAGGTGCCTTGTCACACTGGAAGCTACAGTAACACACGGCTCGTAGATCATGTACTCCATGGGTGCCGCGCAGAGAAAAGAAGCCCTCTTACAAATCATATTTCTGCAGATGTTTTGCTCAATGTGTGTGTGTGTGCGTGTGTGCGCACGCATTTGCCATGCCCCAGTGCCAAATGATGACTGTCATTTGCTCGAAGTGCACATTGACTTGTCATGACGGATAACCTTGCCTCCCATGTAGTTGGTCGATCTAAAGTGTTTGTTGTGCGGTGACAGATGTGCTGTTTTCCTCCCACTGCACCGACTTCTCCGTAGCAGTGTCCCGGATTCAGGACACGCCACCACCTTTATGCATCTTGGTGCCTCTTTCCACACTGCATGCCATCAACGCTGCCTGCACTGTTTCCATTTCAGCATCTTGATCGAACCAAACCGCCGTGATCTCATGGTAGAGTTAGCGTTTCTTCATTTTCCTGCAGAGATGAAAGTGCAGCCTACCTGAATGTAACAGAGCATTTGAATGCGAGGCCATGGAAGTCAGGCTCTTGTTGTTTCAGTGCATCTCATCTCCTCTGCTGCACGGGATGTGGTCAGGACTGCATTGTAGAAGATTTCCCTTCACTGGTCTACAGATGCTCCTGTCAGTGAATGTGCTCCATAGTGAAACGTGTGTGTGTGTGTGTGTGTGTGTTTGGTATTGTTAATTGCCTAATAACTCATTAACATTTGTGTACTTTTGTCTCCCCGTCGCTCTTTTTCTCTTCCCTTCTCTTTCTCTCTTCCTTTGCTCTCCGACTCTCCTCTCTGACCCTCCCTCTCCCTCTCATCACCCTCTGATTCTAACAAAGCGGGTAAGTTGTGAGGACGTCTGCCTGACCTCCTGGATATTGTCTCAGCCGTTTGTCCTGTCTCATCTCTCCTGTCTGTGCGCCATCTCCTGAAAGACCAGTGCCAAAACTGACGTCTCTTATCTATCTGTCCTTTATGGCTGTTAACCGAGCCGTTTGCTTTCTTTCTTTTTCCATTCACCATACCAGGACATTTCTTCCTCCCCTCCCTCCCCCCTTCTTACAGTTCTATGGCAGCTGCATCCACGGCTGGACAGCGACTGTGCCGCCGCTAGAATCTGGGCCCAAATGTCACACCCAGACTGTCTTCTCTCCCTTTTTCTGTCTTTTTTTTTAATACTTTTGTGTGAAATAACCAGCTGCAACATCTGGTTATGGGAGTGTTAAAGGTTCTTTTAGTTTGTCGCATAACTTTCTCCTTACTTGGCTTTCCCCAGCTCTTTTCAGTGGATGTATTTCTCCATGCATTAAAACATGAGCTACCCCCCCCCCCCCCTGTGCTGAATAGTGGACGTGCCTGGTTGTTATTGGATGAACACATTTCCTCTATCATCTGTAGGCATTTTTATTTACCATGTGTGAGGCCCGCTGAGGTGCTGCACACGTCGTGTTGACTTCTGAACCCAATCCTTTAACTTGTCAACCTCATTCCTCTCAAGGAATGGGATGTTTTTATGTAATGAAATGTGTTCACAAACCCCCTCAAAACTAACAGTGTGTGTGTGTGTGTGTGTGTGTGTGTGTGTGTGTGTGTGTGTGTGTGTGTGTGTGTGTGTGTTTGAAAGGCATTGTTTGGCTGTTAAGCAGCACACCGTACATGTAGGAGGATTCAGTACAATAAACAAACTAAGAGGATCTATTCAATAAGGACCTGTTTACATTATGCTGACCGGTGTCGGCTCCGAGTGAAGCAGAACAAACTCCTGCTCCGCTCCAGGGGCGTGTCCAGGGAGTGGCCTGGGGTAGCACATGCCACCCTTAGAATCTGATTGGCCACCCCAGGTGCCACCCTACTCACCCCTTCTTTCCACCGGAGCCGTCAGCGGCACGTTACTGCAGCACCACGTCTTGCTCGCGTATGCCTCTGCTTGGCCCTTCCCACGAGACGCGAAGCAGCAGGGGAGCAGCTGTCACTGACCGAGCACGAAGTCACACGAGTGACTTCGTCAGTAAACACAACAACAAGCAGGAGAAAACTACAACATGGCTCCAAAAGGTTTGTGTTTTATGTTCTGTCCGTTTTATAATCGCCAATACGGACCTGAAAAACAAAGGAGGCCGCTAGCTAGGTGATAACTTCTCACGGGGACGCACATTTAGTAACATTTGGTTTAAAGTAAAGCAACCGGAAGGAAGTACGTTTCTTTATTCTGAAAATCTTGGGAGCTTCGCTCCGTTTCCGCATCCGGTTTCCTGTCTTTCCTTCCCCAAAAATGTTGAACTTGACCCGTTTGAGAGGCGTAGTGCGTAAAAAATAGAACCGGCGCGTAAGGGCCGCGACATGCTGCTCCTGAGACGCGGCCGACTCGCGGTGCTGACGGCTCCAGTGGAAAGAAGGGGTGAGTTCCAGTTTAAATTGACTTTACATAGTCGACAAAAGGCTTGAGTTGTAAACTCCAAAAATAGTGTGTGGTAGCATGCGCCTTAAACATTGTCTTCTAGCCCAGGCCTACAGAACATTTCTGTAGTATTAATATTATTTATTATTTTTTCATATTTACATAAATATTATTTAGAGTCCCACTCAACTCCGGTTGGTGGCAGTAATGCAACAAGAAGTGACTTGCTAACCACCACAAAGCTAGAAGATGAATAGAAAAAATGGTGATTGTGCAATGTGAAACTCCAAAATTCACCAGAAAGTAAATAAATAAATAAACGATTTGTGTAAATAAATAAATAAGCATAACCATTGGTGCCACCCATGCATAAACAAGTGCCCCACATGGGCCACCCCATTTTAAAAGTCCTGGACACGGCTCTGCTCCGCTCTTAGGATCCACTTCACCACCTGCTAAACTAAACTGTGGAGCACAGCCCAGAAAAATCTGTGGAGAAGTTGCATTTAAAGTGTCTCCCTGCAGGATTCAAACACTGCAGAACCAAAAAATAAATAAGTGCATCAACAAAGTCAAGTGAGTGGCTGAGTTTGGTAGTTGTGCTTAGATCTGCAGTACAATGTCCAGCTTCACTGAGCTGCTACTACAGCGGAGTCCCATCCAGGTGGATGTGTGTGTTCACACATTTTGTAGTGATAATCTGACAGAAAACACAATCTTACTTCATTGCTTTTCTAATGAAATGGGACAGATTCAGAAATTGTGCTAAACTCATTGTGATGTTCAGGGAAAGGGCGACGGAAACTAAGTGTTTTTTGGATTTTACAGCCATTGTGGAGGACTGTGTCTAGCAAGAGTTGTGTGTTTGAACGATGAAGCTTTGCCCTTTTCTGCACACAGGCTGGTGTGTGAGATAAGATGAGAGCATCCTCTCATGCACTGTGAACAGAGAAGTTTGTACGCATCAAACAGGAACACGGAAAAGCAGCAATGCTGCGTCAGGCCAGGGGATTACAAAGGGACCGGAATCCTCAGGATTATCAAAGTCCGTGTAAAACTGTGTGCACGTTGTTTAGAGTCTGGTGATCAGGGATGTGAATCTCAGAGCAACTCACGATTTGATTCGATTCCGATTCTCGGGGTGCCGATTCGATTCAGAATCGATTCTCGATTTAAATCGATTCACAATCAGTATTAACAAAGAGTGTCAGTTCCAGGATGAACTACTTTGTTGTGCAAGTTAGTTAAAGCTATGGAACATTTTTATTTTACTTTAAACTGGTCATGCAAAAAAAATGCTAATTTACAAGGTAAACTAAAGTGATTCTAAAACTGTAAACAGAAACAATCTTTTGACCAAAAGGCTAAATTTATATTTGCTTACCTTGTAAAATATAACAAATCTGTAGTTACCTAACAGTAGCTTTGAAAGTAATACGGTCACATACTTTTTAAGTGTGTGTGGAAACAAGTTTAACATTTGAGTCCTCAGCCTGTTTAAAAAATGTGTCTCAGATTTCTTACAAAGGAAAATGTTTTCTCTCATTTATCAATAACTTCAAATAAACACGAGTAATCCTGAGAACTCACTTATCAACTTAGAAAATAAATATGAGAATATCTCAAATTTCTGAGTATGGAAAAAAAATACATTCTAGTCCCCACTTATCAGCAGATTCAAAAATAAATCATCCCAATTTATGGGATCACAAAAGTAAACGGAGTACTGACTCTCCTAACAAAGACCAAAAAACATACAAAAGTGCGTCTCAAACCTGTAACGTGCCAAACATTTGAGTTCCTGGAATCGACTCTGAACCTTTGTGAATAAGAATACCATACCATATTTATTTATAAAGCACCATTTCAAAATAGCATGGCAGCTAACCAAAGTGCTGTACATAAAAAAGCCAAATGCTTGAACAAGAAACACAATAAGAACAGGCAAAAGACATAAGAACAAAGCATAAATAGTCTGAGATAAAAATTCCTACTTAAAACAATAAAATAGGAGAACAGTTAACAGCACGATCAAAAATAAAATAATGCGACGAATAATAAAAACATTTGAAATGGCACAAATAAAACCAAATAAGCTACCAGATGGTGCGAGGAGCCAAAAGTGAGCAACTGAATCATAAAAATGGAATTAAAAAATCAAATCCGGTGCTGGATTGTAATGAAAAGTGTCACGGAGGGAAGGCAATACTAAAGAAGTGCGTTTTCAGGGCCGACTTGAAACTGCTAACAGAGGGAGCCAGACGCACACGGAATCCCGATTCAGACTTGAATCGATGTTTTTCAGCACCTCTAGTGGTGATGACGAAACATGCTTGTTTGAGACAGTAACATCTTATTTACCAGGGGCGGATCTAGGACTGAAAAAGATCCGAGGCTTAACACGTGCACACACACACACACACACACACACACACACACACACACACACACACACACACACACACACACACACACACACACACACACACACACACACACACACACACACACACACACACACACAAATTAGTCAACATAATAAATATAAAAGTTATATTAAATCTAAAGTTATGGTCACTTCATTTTCCCCATTATTCAGCTTTGTCCTAAAACCAACAGAAAACTATTTTTATTTCATATTTAGGATGAATTGATGATTGAAGATTACAGGCGGTTCTGTGACAAAATCAAAAGACATCTTGGGTTACTTGATATTTAAATATGTTCCAAAACTTAATTCTGAACATAAACGGAAAAGTTAGTCCCTAAACACCGTTGGTGATTGCTGAGGAGTTATGGGCGTGCATCTGTGGCCGTTAACTGATACAAGACAATACACAGGCAGCTAAACTTTGGGGGAACTTTGATTTGACCTTTGGCTCTGTCCAGGGGCGGATTTAGGACTGAAGAAGATCCGGGGCTTAACACACGCATGCGCGCATACACACACGTGACACGCACTAGTCATCATATATATTTGTCTTGTACCACATAATTTTTAATCTGAAGCTACATATTAAGCATATCCAGGGCAGAGTATTGTTCCTGTTAGTGTTTAGTGTGAGATGATAGTAAATATTCCCTTTCTTTCTCCATCAACTTTACCTGATAGTAAGCTAATTTTAGGCAAACCAGCAGCACAACAAATATTTTCAAATAAGACTCACAAACCTGAGTCAACACCAGTCTCATCAAAGCTGCGGTTCTGTCGCCGTACTTTTGGTCTAAAAAACGTCCTCATGTCCATCTTCACTCATGCGTTTCAGGCAGAGAGTGCAGAAGAAGTCGGTGCCGGTACAAGATCTGCTCAGGTGCAAGATCGGCTCGGGGTCCGTCGACTGCCGATGACGTCAAAGTAGTTGATTGGCTGAACATGCACCTTACGGAATTACGGAATCATGTTACGTTGTTATCACGTTACGTTGTTATCACGTTACGTTGGTCCAGGCAAATTTTTCTGTTGGAAAGATGGACAACTTTTATAAAGAAATCCATCATTACCTCTTTGAAAATACACTTTTAGCATAGAGCTGCATGTATATTAGGGCTGAACGATTAACTGCATGTGTAATTAAATTGCGATGTGACAAAAGGAGATTTTCTAATCGCAAAGGCTGCAATTTGGCAGCGAGTGGTTAGCGCAATGCTAATATACATGCAAAAACCCATAGGAATGTTAATGCTAATATCATTGAATACATTCTTACAAATTATGAATTAGAAACGTGCCAAATGATTACATTTGGAGTCTAATAGAAAGTAAAACTACCATTAATCAAATAAGTACAGACAGGTATTTTAGTAAAGCCAGAAAACTTTTAACTCCAGAGTTTTGGCTAGCAGCTATGAGCGTAACTGAACTACACATGGACAAGACGTCAAAAACTAAACACAAAATACTTCAATAAACGGGACACACTTTTTCCCTGCAAATACAATTTCACAGGTGTTGCTAATACCTATGATCCTTCAAGGGATGTGCTCAAAGAGGAGTTCAACATTATAAATACAATATAGTGTTTTATTTTACAAATACCATTATAAACACAAACTTACGTCTGAAGAAACATTATTTTAATAACGAAACTGCTAAATTCTTTTCAACAGTATAGATGTGTAGTGTATTTTGTCCGAGTGGGTTTGCCGTACTTTGACATCATCGGCAGTCGAAGGACCCCGAGCTGATCTTGCACCCGAGCAGATCCTGTACCGACACCGGCTGCTGAAGGGCTTCTTCTTCAGTGGTGGAGGCTCAGGCAGGCTGTATACAAACTACTGCCAGCTGCTCCCTCTCTGTTGGACTTTGGTACTGCATGTTACTTCCACGTTTTAGATCCGGGACTTTTCATAAAACATTCGGGGCTTGAGCCCAAGTAGCCGGGCCTAACACCGCCCCTGGTATTTACTGTATCAGCAACATAAAGAAGAAATATAAAGATAAATGTGCTTCGCTGAGAGAGAAAAAAAACGTGCAGGAGTTTGAACAACTCCCAGCTGTCAATCTGAGAGATTTGTGTTTTATTAAGATATGAGATTCCAAACAGACCAAAAAAAGGAAAGTTTTTTTTGTTGCCCTACTTCAGTTTATTAGTGAATATTTAATAAACCTCAGAATACTTGTTCTCTTTGAAATACGATTGGTCAATGTGAGTGACACGTGCACGCTGAACATGAAGATGTTCTTCAACCCACATCATCTGCAGAAAGGAACTAGATCGGGTCAGAAAAAGCCCTTCTCTTCCACGTCACAGGGAGCATGACCCCTAATCCACACTGAAGGCATCGGCACTGCGGAACGGCAGTGAAACATGCCTGCTTCGAATAAAATCCATTAAAGTTTGAGTTGGCCCAAGCCAGTCGCGGCGTGGTACATTTCAGGGACGTGCCAGAAGTCAGTTTCCACAGTTAACATAGGACTAGACAGGAAATCACACACAGCATCAATGTAAAAGTCTGGCAATTTTCAAAATAAAAGAAAATTACAGAGATACGTTTACTTATCTATGTAGATTACATCAATACACGTGACCTAACAGCTTATTTACTGCAGCATCTTTTGAGAAATGCAACGTTTTTCATGGCTTCAATCCTAGCAGTGGAGAGGAACAACATTATCCATCAGAAGAGTTCATTGTTGTGTGAGCAGGTTCACAACATTAGGAAATTGCTGCAGTACTTGGCGCCCCACCAGAGTGTGAATGGGTGGATGACAGATTGTGTTATGAAGCGCCTTGGGGGGTTGTAGAACCCTAAGAAGGTACTATACGAATACAGGCCATTTGGTGCAAAACAATAATAAATAAGCACATTAAAATGATAATATAAAGAGATAATATTTAGAAAAAAACTAATTTATGCAAGTCAGTGAAGGTACTGATCAGACCGGAACAGTTCAGGTGCAAACACAACACAGGGTCAAGTTACTGGAGTGGGCAGTTCAAGGATTGTCAATGATGAGTTCAGCGGCAGAGGGCAAGAAACTATTCTTGTGGCGAGAGGTTCTGGTCCGAATGGATCGGAGCCTCCTGCTAGATGGGAGCATGTCGAAAAGGCTGTGTCCAAGGTGAGACGGGTCAGTTGTGATACGACCTGCATGCCCCAAAGTTCTGGAGGTGTTCAGGTCCGGTATAGAGGGGAGTTTGCTGCCAGTGACCTTCTCAGCAGAGCGTACAACACACTGCAGCAGCTTCTGGTTTCTGGTGGTAGCTCCAGCATTCCACACGGTGATTGAAGAGGTGAGGACGGACTCGATGATAGAGGTGTAGAACCGTGATATCAAACGTGATGTCCTTCTTCTTCTTGGTTTGATGGTGTTTGCATAAACAAACTGTGACCTTTGGAGTCTCAAGGTATTTTTGTGATTTCGTAAGTCCAGTGAGGATGGCAGAGAAGCCCTGCTCCCCCGCTGTGGATTGACTCACAGCAAAGGCCGAGAGTAAAGCGCCTCGTTTTCGTTCCATGCTGGCGATGCCTTCATGGCTCCGTCTACCTTGGATTGCGACCGTGGAAGGCTATATTGATTTTGACGCCAGGAGAGATAAGAACATATCTCGGCCAGCAGAAGCTAACTATTACCATCAGCAACTCCACAACCTGGCGAAACATGTTCAGGATCGTTCCTGGAGGGGAGAAAATATTCCCGTTTCATTTGTTTTACTCAAAAAAGAAGAGTGAATAAACACAGCAGAAAAGTCGTGTAGCTGTTAACCAATCAAAAGTGAAGTGTTTTCATATAATATTAATGAGTACGAGTCTGTCGTTTTTCTACACCCTCTTCCTCTAACCTCCACCCCCCGAAACAGGAGCACCACAGCACATTTGTTGAAATACCGAGTGAACGTGATCTTTGAAGCCAACAGCCAATAACTCTTCGACTGACATGACATTTGTCACAAGCTGTTCTGGCCAGTCCCAAAGAACCCAAACCCCAACGCAGTTTAATTGTAATCCACAGCCTGTACTCTAACTGTAGATTATTAGTACTGTAGGTACTACTGTAGATTATTTTTTACTGTATATGTTGTATATCATATTTCTATTTCACCTGTTCCTTTGTCTCTCCTACTGCTTTGAGCATGTACATGACACAAGAATTTCCCTCGGGATAAATAAAGTTGTTCTTATCTTATCTTAACCTCAGGGCTTAGGGAAAAGTGTGAGTGAGGACATGAATGTGTTCGATTAAACCTGAATCAGACCGATCAAATGTGTGTTTGACTCGCATGTTTGTATGTTAACACGAGTTCTGCTCTTCTCCTGCCCACAGACATGAGCTTTTGGAGGAGGCTAGGAGGAAAGGTTTACCTTTCGCCCAATGGGACGGCCCCACGGTGGTAGCCTGGCTCGAGGTAAAACGCTGTTGCTTGTGGGTGAAGTTATTTTTTAGCAGATGGACCAAACCATGAAACAGCATCGTTGATGTAGTGAAGAAGTTTCTTGATGTCATATTTATGAAAAATGTACATGTTAGAATAAACTGTTGAAAAGCGAAAGTGGTATTGTTTAAAGGGCCATGATGAGGTCAGAATTGACCCTTTGCACGTGACGTCACGCCACTCATGTAACCGCCCCCTTCGCCATGACGGATGGCAAAAAGACCGTTTACACCCGTAGAAACTCCAGTGAAGGTAGTCGAAACAAGCCAGTTTGTAGCCTTTTATGCTTTTATTTAGTTGATACGACAGTAAAATGGTTGTAGCTTGCTGCGTGGTCGGCTGCACTAACAGACAAGGACGTAAACTCAACTCGTTTTGTTTTTTTAATAACTTTGATGGAGACTGAGGACGGAGATGAACTGCAGCGACCAATCAAGCGGACTAGCAGGCCTCAGATTTGCAGCAAAAATGTTTTTAACGAGTAAGATTAACGTTCATTTATTTCACGAGGAAGACAGGGACAGGGATAAATGTGATGTGTTTATACAAGTTATTGATAATCCTGATGGATGGGTATTCCACCACGGAGGATGCACGCCGTCCACTGTAGTGTAAAGCGAGACAATTATAAACAATACTAAAGCTCCGATGTATGGTTACGTGTGTTAAAAGTACATTATTTATTTATTTATATGAGCGTCAGCGTTCAGAGACCTTCTCATTCCGGTGTGAGAGCAGCAGCTGAACCCGGTAACACCACCAGCAACAGAAGCTGGTAGAGATCCGGACTTTTTAAAAATCAGCTTTGGTGTAAAGTGAAACGCTGTTTATAACATAAAGTTATAAATCCAGAGGGGTGAATTTAGGCAAAGTCAGCAACATGTTTATATCGGTGAACAGCTGCAGAGAGAACGTAAGCTAACGTTGGTAAGCTAGTTAACATACCGCTCTCTATGAGCCACCGCTAGATGCGCTACTTCTGATAACTGAACTGGGCGTGAACTAGTTGAAGGAATGCTGGAGGAGTTTTGTTTTTGTTTTGATCGCAAAAACAATTTCAGGCTCTACTTTTCCCTTTGTTTAGTAATCGTGTCGCTCACTGTTTACATGCTTTTGCCGTCCAGCATGGTGGACCCACGTGATTAGATGTCGTCGGTGCAAAGGATCAATAGGGGGTGAGATTATCCGGGTTGATAGATGCATTTTGAGCTGCTGACAGGAAGCGTTTTCAGTCAGCAGTATATTTCTAGACTTTCTGGATTTCAAAGGAAATTATTTTTTCCACTTATTGTAGTCACAAAAATCCTCTAATGGTTGTTAAACATCACTAAATGGGAAACTTAAAATGAAAGTCATCAAACTTTTCTCTCGTCTTGTAAAAACAATAAAAGTAATTTCGGAGTTAAATCAATGGAAGTAACAAAAAAAGTATCAAGTACCTAGCCTGGCAAGCCATCATTTACAGTAGGACGAGGTTTATTCATTGAAAATTATTTTTAAATGTCGGGTCGTCTAATAATCAGGATCGTCCTACACAGGGAGTGCTGAATTATTAGGCAAGTTGTATTTTTGAGGAATAATTGTATTATTGAACAACAGCCATGTTCTCAATGAACCCAAAAACTCATTAATATCAAAGCTGAATGTTTTTGGAAGTAGTGTTTAGTTTGTTTTTAGTTTTAGCTATTTTAGGGGGTATCTGTGTGTGCAGGTGACTATTACTGTGCATAATTATCAGGTAACTTAACAAAAAACAAATATATACCCATTTAAATTATTTATTTTTACCAGTGAAACCAATAAAACATCTCCACATTCCCAAATATACATTTCTGGCATTCAAAAACAATACAAAAACAAATCAGCGACCAATATAGCCACCTTTCTTTGCAAGGACACTCAGAAGCCTGCCATCCATGGATTCTGTCAGTGTTCTGATCTGTTCACCATCAACATTGCGTGCAGCAGCAACCACAGCCTCCCAGACACTGTTCAGAGAGGTGTACTGTTTTCCCTCCTTGTAAATCTCACATTTGATGATGGACCACAGGTTCTCAATGGGGTTCAGATCAGGTGAACAAGGAGGCCATGTCATTAGTTTTTCTTCTTTTATACCCTTTCTTGCCAGCCACGCTGTGGAGTACTTGGACGCGTGTGATGGAGCATTGTCCTGCGTGAACATCATGTTTTTCTTGAAGGATGCAGACTTCTTCCTGTACCTCTGCTTGAAGAAGGTGTCTTCCAGAAACTGGCAGTAGGACTGGGAGTTGAGCTCGACTCCATCCTCAACCCGAAAAGGCCCCACAAGCTCATCTTTGATGATACCAGCCCAAACCAGTACTCCACCTCCACCTTGCTGGCGTCTGAGTCGGACTGGAACTCTCTGCCCTTTACCAGTCCACGAACCCATCCATCTGGCCCATCAAGACTCACTCTCATTTCATCAGTCCATAAAACCTTAGAAAAATCAGTCTTGAGATATTTCTTGGCCCAGTCTTGACGTTTCAGCTTGTGTGTCTTGTTCAGTGGTGGTCGTCTTTCAGCCTTTCTTACCTTGGCCATGTCTCTGAGTATTGCACACCTTGTGCTTTTGGGCACTCCAGTGATGTTGCAGCTCTGAAATATGGCCAAACTGGTGGCAAGTGGCATCTTGGCAGCTGCACGCTTGACTTTTCTCAGTTCATGGGCAGTTATTTTGCGCCTTGGTTTGTCCACACGCTTCTTGTGACCCTGTTGACTATTTTGAATGAAACGCTTGAATGTTCGATGATCACGCTTCAGAAGCTTTGCAATTTTAAGACTGCTGCATCCCTCTGCAAGATATCTCACTATTTTTGACCTTTCTGAGCCTGTCAAGTCCTTCTTTTGACCCTTTTTGCCAAAGGAAAGGAAGTTGCCTAATAATTATGCACACCTGATATAGGGTGTTGATGTCATTAGACCACACCCCTTCTCATTACAGAGATGCACATCACCTAATATGCTTAATTGGTAGTAGGCTTTCGAGCCTACACAGCTTGGAGTAAGACAACATGCATGAAGAGGATGATGTGGACAATGAACTATGTGACGTACTCACCGCTACAGATGTCAATCAACAGGGCAGTTCGTCATAGCCTGAAGAAGATGCAATTACATCCTTTTTTCTACATAAACGACTTAAGTACCTCTTATCTGCTCTTGACTCGGAGAAAAGCCAGTCTAAATAGTCCAACACTGATGCCAAAGCAGACACCATCTTTGTTTCATTGAGTCGTAGTAACATCTCACCCACCAAACCAATAGAGCGTTGTGACTGACACGCCTCAAGACTATTTGGGTCTGCTGAGGCACCATGGTAGTGTGGCTAGATGGACCTGCAGAGCACTTCTAGACTATTGTATTGGTTCATATTAGCACATCTGGTTTAATAATTGGCACTGTTTTATATCCTTGTTTCCTCTGTGTGATGATGAAGCTGTGGTTAGGAATGCCGGCCTGGTACGTGGCAGCCTGCCGTGCTAACGTGAAAAGTGGTGCCATCATGTCGGCCCTTTCCGACACAGAGATCCAGAGGGAGATCGGAATCAGTAACCCTCTGCACAGGCTCAAGCTTCGGTTGGCCATTCAGGAAATGGTCTCCCTGACCAGCCCGTCAGCCCCGCCCACCACCAGAACCGTGAGTTTTTCTGCAAATGTCCTATCATGGGTCACGCCAACATTTCTGCAAAAGTTTTTCAAAGGTCACACTGATCTGGAGGAAGACGTCATCTCACAATTTGCGTAGACAGAAATAAGAAGTTAATTATGGCCATACATCAATATAAAGATGGCTAACTTTTTGTTTCAGTTGTTTAACTCCATTCCAAAACCAAAACCTAGTGTAAAAGTATCAGTACTCAGTATTTCGAGGTTTTAGTTTCAACTCTGCTCCCCCAGCTAACCCCTGGTTGAGTCATCATTTCTTCCTCCAGCTCTGACTGATGCTTGTGACGTAAATCAGTGAAACTGAGGTGCTTTCAAAGATGTCTGTTGTCATAGTGATTGTTGGTGGTTCATATGATTGTCTTGATTTGGTAATAGTTTATATTATAAATCAAAGTGACGAGCTGCTTATGGCCTTAAGATTCCGTTTTTAATCCAGCGCCAGTATGCATGCAAACGTCCCCCCCACCCCCCACCCCCCCGATGCCATGTTACCATTACCTCACAGTTTAGCTTCACGCTTCTCTAGAAACAGCCCAACATGTTGAAGGAACTTATGCATAAAGAGTCAAATAACATAACCATCTTACAATGTGTGCTGCTGGGAGCGTGGAGACGTAATATTTGCTCATTTAATTGTAAATTAAAGTTTTTTGTTTGTTTTTTTAACTGGGGATGCACCGAAAGGAAAACTCTTGGCTGAGACTAAAAATGAGGAAACCAAACACTGAGAAAAATGATCACGTTAATAATTAGAACCATAGCATTTATGGCTATGGTGTGAACTAACCTCACAAAAATCAAGGCATTGCAATAAATCCATTACAAATTAATTTATTTAGCACCGACATAACAACAGTGCACGGTGTTGTGCACATTAAAAGATAATAAATGACAAACGGACATGTTAAAAGTGAAAGGCCTGCTGAGAAACTAAAATTAACATGTTCTCTAATAAAACACAAAGTGCGAAGCGCCTTTTAAATGCTTGTGTAGGTCTACTACAGCTTTGTCACACGAGTCTGTTCCTCTTCTCACGGAGGACTTGAGCTGCAGCACGGACGTCTGTCAGTTCCTGTGCGGACAACACGGCTTCAGAGTAGCAGCTAGGACAAAGTGTTACTTTGCACATGTTGCAGCTCCACGTTTCCATAAAAATCCTTTTTGTTCACATTCAGAAGTTTCTACAGTATTAAAATCAGAATCGCTGCTTTTTCAGGCTCTTAAGGACACCACCATGTTGGATTTGTTCACACCGCATTGGTCTAAAACTATGGAGCTAGGATTGGGACAATATTCAGCGTAACTTGTACCAAGTTTTGTAACTTCGAACATGTTTTATCACATGCAACTTTGGATTCGTAACTTGTAACTTTAGTTTTCTAACTTGTAATTCTCAGTTTGTACTTGTATTTCTTGTTTTGTAACAGGAAATTTTCATTTTGTACATGTATTTTTTATTTTGTAAAATCAAACTCTTATTTTGTACATTTACTACTCATTTTGTAACATCAAACATTCATTCAGAAACACGAAACTTTCGTTTTGTAACTAGCAGACTTCCAAATTGAAAAAAAAATCAAGGTACAAGTTTGAAATCAAAACTCTCAAAAACACACATTTCATTCTACAGGTACAAACCTCAAATCTACAGTTACGGATCTTTTTGTCTCGATTCTAGCGTCAGTGGGAGGAACTTGGGTGGAACCAATGAGAGCACGAGTCTTAGCTACCAATCACGTTTCTTGAATTCCTGTCCAGTCATTGGGAGAGGAGGGAAGGGTTCTGTCAGAGCTGTAGAAAGAGAGTTACGACACTCTTTGAACTCGCCGACTCATGGTCACGTGGTTCACGGAGCTCTCCGTTCCAAACATCCCACAGCGCCGTAAGTCAGTTTGAATGGCGTATGGTGGGACAAATCACAAAAATTAAATCAAATCAAGACTTGTGCTCTCATTGGTTCCACCCAAGTTCCTCCCACTGACGCTAGAATTGAGACAAAAAGATCTGTAACTGTAGATTTGAGGTTTGTACCTGTAGAATGAAATGTGTGTTTTGAGAGTTTTGATTTCAAACTTGTACATTGATTTTTTCAATTTGGAAGTCTGCTTGTTACAAAACGAAAGTTTCATGTTTCTGAATGATTGTTTGATGTTGGAGACCGTGGTGCGCTGCTGCGCCCGCGTTGTTCATTCTGTTATGGTTACCGGTGCTTGTCTTGCAATGTGAAACGCTTGGTCTCAGATTTTGATAGAAAAATAATAAAATGGCCCCCCAAAGTACGACTTAAATATATTTTTTCTTCTTCATTATACATTTAATGGCTGGTGTGACTCAGGAGCACAATGTTCCTGTTACAAAACAAGAAATACAAGTACGAATTGAGAATTACAAGTTAGAAAACGAAAGTTACAAGTTACGAATCCAAAGTTACAAGTTACAATCCAAAGTTACAAGTTACAAATCCAAAGTTACAAGTTACAAATCCAAAGTTACATGTGATGAAACGTGTTCGAAGTTACAAAACTTGGTACAAGTCACGCTGAATATTGTCCCAATCCTAGCTCCATATAAACGATCACGTGAGAGCTGCTTCACTTCATTCTCGTTCCACTCAAAACTAACTAATACTGAATTAAAACAACAACCATAATGAACCAGGGTGACTAAAAAGGGGAAAAAAATTATTTTTATATCAGTACAAATGTGAAATTTTTATGAAGCGACGAGCAAGATGCCACATGAGGGTGGCGCGAGACTAAACAGAAACGGGGTCCACCTGACGGCCTGTTTCAGCCGTGTTGTTCTGGTGGTCGAATCTTCGTTGCATCCCTAATTTCATCGTGCAGCGCAAGCGAGTGAGTGTGATTTAAGAAGGCTAAAGGATGGATGGACTTTGAACAGCAGCTGTGATACAAGATGAACTAAAGCATTTAAATGAATAGATTTTCTCCAGATCAATGGTGAGGGTTGAGTTAAGTGGGCTAACCAATTGTTGTCGTGCATGGCTGCTATTTTGTGTTATTGAAAGCCCGTGTTGTGTTTTTGTCCTTTGCTCATTTCCTTTGACCTGCCCCCCGGTGGGTTTCATCATCTGACTGTGATGCTATAACGCTGTTGGCTTACAGTGGTGCTGCTCTTCTTCTTTAACACTGCTTGCCCCTCCAACTGGACCTCTACTACCAATCCTGCTGCTGCTCCGTCTCTTGGGCTCCGCCCCTTGTAGCCGTCAGGCAACGTGTGGGTGACCCATGAGGAGATGGAGACCCTGGCAGCTCCTTCTAAAACGGTCAGTCCCTTCACTGTCACCCTTTTTTTGTTTTGCTTTTCCAACTGTGTGAAATATCAGGAAATGCATGCAACAGTTAAGCCCCTCCCTGACCCTCTTGTCAGTACTGAAGAGCAGCCTGAAGCCTTTTGTTGCTGATGACGGCTCACAGAAGAATTCAGCCGTGTTGTAGAATTGCATCTTCAGGATTATTCATAAGGGTCGACGGACGTTTACTCACCACAAACCAAGAGTTGTTTGTCACTTTTGGATTTAAAAATAAAACTTAGAGTCAATCAGAGATTAAAAATTAAACTGGCTGAAATCTAAGATGTCCACTGCACTTCCAGGATTAAAACCAGACATTTCTGGTGTAGTATTCATCGTGCACGTGTTCTGCATGTCTAATATAGGAATTAGTTTAGGTTGTTTAGTTTTCTTAAACCAATTCAGGACCTCTCATCTGTGATGTTTCCTCCCAAATCCTGTCTTTGAGGGGTCCGTTTTGTCAAATGTGCACAATCTGTCGTGCATTTTCTGGGGCAAACATGCAGCTCATCAGCAAAATCTACATTCATAGTTGGATCTAAAAGTTTTGAAAGCAGCTGCAAGATTTTACTCCATAACCATATTTATCCTGTTTTCCTGATGTTCTCACCAGAAGTCAGATTCGGAAGAGGGGAGCTGGGCACAGGTAAAGTCTGCGGCATGCCCAACAATCGCAGCAAAGATTCAGAAACGTCTGCATGAGCACCAGGTTGACTCTCGTGTCCTCGCAGACTCTGGCCTACGGGGACATGAACCATGAGTGGATAGGGAACGAGTGGCTGCCCAGTCTCGGACTACCTCAGTACCGCAGCTACTTCATGGAGTGCCTGGTGGACGCCCGCATGCTGGACCACCTCACCAAGAAGGACCTGAGGGTGCACCTAAAAATGGTGGATAGCTTCCACAGGTACTGGACCTAACTGTTGGAAAGATCCTTTTTTGTTTTTATTCCGAAAGTTGCCTGCATGCATCCAGTGGTAATCCAGTAAAATGCAACAATTAGCTGGAAAAGAAAAACACCAAAACTTCATTATCTGGTGTTTGCCTTTCAAGAGTTCTCTGTTTCTAGCCTATTGCACATCTTCATTTTTTCCGACAGAACAAGTTTACAGTATGGTGTCATGTGTCTGAAGAAGCTGAACTATGATAGAAAAGAACTGGAGAGACGCAGGGAACACAGCCAGCATGAGATAAGAGGCAAGTGAACAATAATAAGTTACATTTCAACTTTACTTGATTTTTACTACTTCTGCGGTGGACTCTAGTAAGAAGCAATGCCTTGTAAGTCGTACTCTGGGGAAAAAGCTTAGATCTGCCTGTTTGAGGACGTAGAAGTCCGCTGGAGGAGCAAGAACATAACAGGGTTTGAAGACTTACTTCCTGATATTTCGACATCTCACCTCTGATTGGCTAACAGCAACACAACTCTACCACTGATTTCATTTGCTTTGCAAAGTCGATGTTTTATCTCCACAAATAGCACAAGCCTGGAGGAGTTCTGCTGTGTGGTGGAGTTGCTAATGCTAATGGTTAGCATCCCGGGCTCTAAAGCCTGATTTATGCTTCTCCGTCTGCGTCAGTGCGGAGCACACGCAACGCCATTATCCGTCCTTGCGTTGGGATCCGGCAGGCACGCAAGTACGTACGGAGTCGAGCCCACTTTTTTAAACATCCGTCGAACGAAACGGACAACGCAAGCTTGTGATTGGTCAGGACGCCGCTGTTGTCCTCAACACGGAGAAGCTTGAAGAATACCTCGCGAAAAAACTCTAAAAATATGAACGTTTCATCCTCCCGTGACTGGAGGAGTGAAAAGATGTGCAGCAAGCGTTTTATTTGTGGACGGAAATGACAGGAAACGTGGGTTCAGAGGTGGGGAGCGCATGAAGCGTTGGGAGAATGAGAGACAAATATGTCCGTGTTAAAAGTCTCTTATATACACAAAAAACACAATATAAACACACGATCTTGGACCGATACATGACAGGATACCACAGAACAGCGCTACGCCCTCTGTTGTCCTGCCGGGCAATTGATTTGCAACACTCTCCAGGAGACGAAGTATGAGAGCAAAACGCTTCCGTCAATCCGTGCGTGTCTGTCCCTTGCGGAGCTGACGGAGAAGCATAAACCAGGCTTAAACCAACAGCAGCCCTCCCCGACGTGAGTCAAGATTGGTGAGTCCATGCGTGTTAAGTGACGTCCGGCTTTTCTAATCCTAGACCTTCACTGTTTCCATCAGAAGCTAATGCAGGGAAAAGGTGTAGGAGACTATTTTCCTGTTTAGCCTGCATGAAAATCTCAGAGTGACTGATCATTTTCAAAAATAAGTAAAGATGATTTCTCAGTGAATCTGCTCTTTAACAAGTAAAAAAAAATAATAAACCTAATCCCAACAGTTGCACCCACTTTTCTCTGCAGATGTCTTGGTGTGGAGTAATGAACGAGTCATCCGCTGGGTGCAGAGCATAGGCCTGAGGGACTACGCCAACATCCTGCTGGAGAGCGGTGTGCATGGAGCTCTGGTCGCCCTGGATGACAACTTTGACTACAGCAGCCTGGCACTGCTCCTCCAGATCCCCACCCAAAACACTCAGGTACTGCAGCCACGCCGACACGCCTTCCTTATCCAGCAAACCGCTGTGTCTTTGGCTCCAACGTCTAACTAAACGTAGCGGCCCGGTGAATTTTCACAGCTCATCTCATCCGAGTCATTTTATTAAATGAATCACAAGTAATGAAGCGTGTTGGCTGCCTTTGCAAATGACCACAGTCACCAATTCTTGTCGTGTGTCTTGCCCATGTATGTCTGATCTCAGAATTGTGTGTACTGAAACTCTAATTTCCCTCCGAGATTAATGAGGTATCTTTGAATTTGAATTGGCTAGATATAGCCGGACTGGTGAACACTGGCACGTGTTTTCCTCCTTTCTTCAGGCACGTCAGATTCTGGAGCGAGAATACAATAACCTGCTGGCGCTGGGCACTGACAGGAGGCTGGAGGAGGTGAGCTGGACAATCCACCAAGTTCTGAAACTCGATGCCTTCCGATCATCGCGTAGCAAACAGCTGACCACGCGGGAAATGACGACACTTCCTCTCCATAACAAACCCTAACAGAGCAGCGTTTTCTGTCCATCAGTGTGACGACAAAGACTTCCGGGGTCCATCGTGGCGGAGGCAGTTCCCTCCTCGGGACGTCCACGGCATCAGCATGATGCCTGGATCAGCGGAAACTCTTCCTGCTGGGTTCCGTCTCACGGCGACGTCTGGTCACTCCAGAAGGCTGCCCCCCGAAGGTGAGAGCCTGCCTCGCTCACGACTGTCTAACCTAAAAACACCAGGGTGAAACCGGGAGCTCCGGCTGTTCGCCAGAATCCTCCTCTGACCACATCTCTTGTTTTTCTGACGGCTGTTCTGTAGTCCTCTTTGAGGTGCTGGATTACAGTCCTGACGACATGTATTTGGATTGGTTTCAAGGTCAGCTGTGACCCCTCCCCCCAGAACGTTCTCGGCTTGTTGGCCCTGAGTGCATTCTAACCCCAAAATTCCTCTATCTCCGCTCCGCCCACGCTTTCCGCTGCCGCTCGCTTCCGAACTCAAATTATACTATACCCGCTCTACAACGGCTCCTCCCCGGTGCGGAGACCTGAGGTGCGCAAACAAGCATGCGCGGGATTTTCGAGATCTTGCGATACAGTCCGAGCAATAAACGCGGAAGTTAGATCCAAACACCCGTTGTGTGGGAGAAGCATCGACATGAACTGTTTAATCTGCCTATCATTTGTGTTGAGAGATCAGCAGTGTTTGGATCAACAAAGTGTGACTACTTTGATAGTGGAAACTGTATTTATGGCTTATTTTTGTGCATTTAATGTTCAGCCGCCATTGAGTTGTTAAAAGTTGTTAAACCTGTGCATATGAAACAAAAGACGCTTTTTGTTTATCGATTTATTGTGAAATAACGGAAGCTGTGCTTGCTCCCTTTCGTGTTGGGCGGTTGTGATTCCTGTCCATTGACTGCGGAGGTGCTCCGGCGTCCGACAAAAATAGGATCAATCCTATTTTTGCCGGATGGCGGGTGGCGCACTGTGCCGCATGGCAGCAGTAGTGGAACAGCTCTGATTGACTACAACGGGACCGATTTTGCTGCGGAGTTCGTGCCGGAGCGGAGATAGTGGAATTTTGGGGTAATGCTACAACACCCCCCCCCCCCCCCCCCCCCCCCCCCCCGGTCACATGAGCTGTACCAACCACCGTCTTGATGTGTATCTCCTTAATATCATGGCTTCTCATCCTTCCCCTGTTCTCTAATATTCATCTGTAAGTGTTTTATTCAGGAGCAGATTTAGCAGAAGAGGCAACAGGAAAAGTTTGTCATTTCTCATCCCCTTGGCTGTTAAACGAGAACACAGACTGGTTTTCTCCCAACACTAGTTAAGATGCTCCCCAAGATCAGGATCCATCCAGATAAACAACTGAACGACGTGCAGAGAGAATCAGCGGTTTTGTCTTTAAAAGTGACGTCTGTCCAGTGTTCCACTTTACCAGCTCTCCTGTTTCTCTGTGGCGTTCCCAACATACTCAGATCAACAACTTCCTCCAGCTTACCCGTGGCGTCCTCCTCTCACGTTCAAACTTGAAGTATGTCACGACTAGAGTAGCGTGGTAGCGGTTTTAATATTTTCACTCACTGTCTCCCCCTACAGTCGGACCGTCTGCGGTGCAGCGACTGGACGGCTCCACGGTGAGAACCTACTCCTGCTGAGAGGAGGAAGAGGGGGACCAGAAACTGTACGCTGTATGTAACACAACAGTCTCTGGCTCTGACAAATACACAGCATGTAAGAGACAGTGGGAGATCTGGGGTGTGTTTTCGCTGCTGTGACAGGAGCAGGGTGGAGCACTGAGATCTCATCATGCTGTCTATCACAACTCAGAATGATACACAGAACATCTAATATTCTAATCCTGGTGTGTTCATAAGAATGTTAAGTCACGGAGGCCGTGCAGACTGAGCAGGTCTGAACTCTCCAACACTGTTTCAATCAAATATACTGTATTAATCCCAGAGGGAAATTAGTTTCAGTCCACACAATTCAGAGATTAGTCATACATGGGGAAGACACATGACAAGAATTGGTGACTGTGGTCATTCGCAACCCTGAGTCGCGCTACCTTAACAGAGATAAGAGGGTTACATGAGGATTGGTTCAGGTGGAGGGAAAAAAAGCACTTCAGAGTTACCCTCCAGCAGGAGGGCAGCTTTGCTCTGCAAAAAAAACACCTCAGACAGATATGCAACATACTTCAGACAACACAACAGAAGTGTCCACTAGGTGGGGTGGTGTGTTGGAACAATCCCCACTTCAGTTCCTGCAGCCACGATAAGCAGCGCATGTCACCTCAGTGTGGATGGGGGAGGAGCATTGAGGGTTGCAGTGACCCTGGAACGTTTCAGCGGCCTTCCCGCAGTTCCGCCCAGGCTGGGATAGGAGATAGAGTTGAGTTGCCATAGTGACAGCACATTCCACATATCTTCTGAGGGGGGTGTTTTCGTTGGAGCCTTGCAGGCTCAAGGGCGCCAGATTCCGATTAGAAATTGTTTTGGGGCCAGACAGAGATAATTTCCTCTCTGTCTTACAGTTTGTTGGTCCTCAACCTCTCAAAATTCCAATAATTGACATTAATCTATCCCAATCCGTGCTGATTCGTCCACTCTCTCCTTGATGGCATCCATCTTTGTGCCAATGCGTGAGTCTCGGCCAAAGTCCCAGGCTTACGATTCATCTCGACAATTATGTGAGTCTGTGAATTCACAGTGCGGTGCAAACCATCTCTGAGCTCCGGGATCCGGCCAATATTCCTTGGCAGCTCGTTAATTTTCCAGTATTATTGTGGGAACAGAGAGCTGCTGATGTCATGAGGGCCACCAGGAAGCTTTTCATCACCAGAACTGGACCTCCACCAATGCAGCTCTCTCTCTGACCGTGACGAGCTAGCCGTTTCTACATGACTAATTAAAACAGGTCATTCATGGTGATATTAGCTTTAATGTGCAGCTGTGACACAATGAGCACAATCTCACCAATGTTTGAGATGAAGATGCAGTTTATTGAATATTTTATTTACAGTTGATGCTTTTTGCATTGAAAGTAGAAAGAAGTTTTACTGTTCAGAGTTTATTTTTTACAGGCTGTGCGTCGGACTCCGCAGCGTAAAACGTCTGGAAACGTACGTCGGTTCCCGTTAGAACCCTCGTAGCCGATGTAAACGGCAGAGAAAAAAAACCACAGCTGTCTTTCTCCTTGCTGGTTATTGTGTGGAGTTGCAATTCTCCCGTTTCACACCTGAAACAATCCAGTTAGGTTAATTGCCTCTACTCCATTACGCGCCACTTTCACGCCCGGAGGAAAGGAGGCTAAAGAGCAGCCGGAGGAAAAAAAAATACAAGTCATTTTATTCGGTAAAATCCTAAAAGTTTAAGTCATGATTGATACCTGCATGAGATTAATGTCCAGACAGAACTTCTGCACCGTGGAAGTGTTCTAGAACTTGTCGAGGAGCTTCCCTGTCAAACATTACACAGCTCAGAGACGGAAATCAGCATCTCCACTAGAGGAGACTAGTGTTGGAACGGTCCATCCTTAAAACTCCTGAACTAACAACTCTCTCCTTCCCGTTTCAGCTCCAGTTCTGAGTGAAAACGTCCTTTTGGATCTGCTGAGGAACACAACCAATCCAACGACACGCACTGCCAAGAAGCTCTGCTCTCCTCGGACTCCCTGGAAACGTGGGCACCACGCCGGTGCTAAACCGTCCTGCAGGCTGCCTCATTGTCACCATTTCTACCTTTTACATGTAAAGTAACTTGTCAGAGCATCATGTACTGTGTAGGTTATCTGTAAATTAATATAAATATGCCATTTTTATTATATTACGCAAACATTATGTATAAAAGATATTCGGCGTTTGTCCTCGCCACCTCATTTAGTGGACCATAGATGAATATATGCTGCTCTTTAAACTCCATGTTCCTCTAGATCATTTTGTAAATATGGTTTTATTTTTTCATCGTGCTGGGCCCTAGAGGGGAAGAAACTCTGGATGTTATGTGAAACGCTGCTCTCTAATGGCGGCCCACAACCCGTCCACACACTGGAAGGACGCGACAAGCACTTTTTCCACCAACTCAGACTTTTAGTAGCCAAGGACAAAAAAAAACAAAAAACTAGACGCTGTGAAGTCGCACACAACGCCGTCCGTGGACCCGTTTCTTGTTGTACTGTACGTTTCGTCGGGCGACACATTCACACTCCTACAGCCGAGTTGGCCTTCTCCCCAACGAACAGAAATAACTGAAAGACAGGCCGCTTTAGCTCTTTGTGCGTGCGTGTGTGTGTGTGTGTGTATAGAGTGTATATGACATGTTGAAGTGAGGTGATTTAATGACAAATAAAAAAAAATAAACTGTTGCTTGCTGTTGGTGTAAACGGTAAGTCTTTGTTTCAGGAGGACGGGAGGTTCAACCCCGTTTTCTGTCTTTGAGTTATTTCTGATGGACAAACAAAACATTTTGGTTTTTACTTCTTCAATTTGCACGAACGGGGAATTATTTTGTTTTTTTTTTAAATTACTTGTACTTTGGTCGATTCCAAGTGGTGCGCAGACAAGATCTGATTGCTAATAAAAAACTATTAGTGACTTTTGTTTAGTTATTAATCAGACGCATGACCAGAAGTACATTTTAATGTATTCTAATATAAGAACTTGCAGACTTGCGTCTGGCGGGATCGGGATGAATGCCTCAGGTACCTGATGCTCCATGTCTGTTTGGAGTTCAGGAATGGAAACGCACTTAATGTCATTTGAACACCAAAATGAATCCAACTCATTGATTGAAGGTCTTGAGCTTTTATCTCCCATGAAGACGTATCAAAAGGAGAAACTGCATCGTCCATCCTCTCAGGCCGTGTGGCATCTCAGATATGTTTCTACTTGCCTTTCAACGTCTCTAAACACATCTGGGTCCTCGATTGTTGGACTGATCTGTGAGAAAACATGAATGGAGTAAATTCATGGCGTTCCTGAAATGATGACTTAAGTTATTGAACATTTTAATATATGCATTTGTGGGGAGGGCAGGAGCGCCTGTTTCAGCACACGAGTCTTATTTCCTGATATTTGGACATCTCTGATTGGCTAACAGGAAAACGACTCTACCACTGACTTGGTTTGCTCTGCAACGTTGATATTTTATCTTCACAAATAATACAAGCCTGAAGGAGCTTCTGCTGTGTGGTGCAGTAGCTAATGCTAACTGTTAGCTTCTACCAGCAGAGATGTTCTGTTTTTTCCCAGACGCTAAACAAATGACCGTCTCCCCAGTCGTGAGTCAAGATGGGTGAGTCCACTTTCGTGCATCCTAGTTAAAATTTAAATATTCTGCCTAAAACTGTCAGTGTTGCACCCTCTTCTGGTAAAAAAATAAATAAATAAAAAACTGCACTGAACTTTAATTTAAATCTGCCATCGCTATTAGCTAAGAGGCACACCATGACATTTCTGGTACATTATGATGTCACAATTTTGTGTGTATTTTTTTGCTGCTCCGCCCTCTCGGTCTGCCAAGCAACAGCATTTTACTCTCTGATATTGAATGTGCTACTACTAGTTCACCTGTTGAATTAATTATAGATTCACTAGGATAAATACCATAAAGTGTATCTCTCACTAAATATAATTATTTACTAAGAAATCACAATGTAACCATAGAAACACTACTTGGTATATATGTTGTGTGTGCCTGCTCTGTCCTCTCCATCCCCAGTGAGTCGTGGAGGATGGCTGCTTATACTGAGCCAGGATCCTCTGGAGGTTTCTTCCTGTTAAAAGGGAGTTTTCCTCTCCACTGTCGCTGCATGCTTGCTTAGTATGAGGATTGCTGTAAAGACTCGATGCTGTCTTTACAGCAATCCTCGATGCAACCTGCTGAGTTCCTTATATAGGAAACGTTTTACTGATTGGCTTAATGAACTGACCTGTATTGGAATGTTTATCACTGTAAACCCAAAAGCTCTACATAATCAAATATAATGAGTAGAGAAACTCATAATATAAAAATATGTTTTAAGAACTCAAATGTGTTGAGTTGGTTCAACCTTTCTCCTTGTTTTAAGTACATAGAACTCAAATGTTTTAATTAAACTGAACTATTTCCTTTTTTTAAGTATGCATAACTTTAATTAATCATAAAGAACAATTTAATGAGTAATATTAACTAATAAAATATGAATTTATTATTTTATGTTTCTATATTATTTCACTCATCTTTACGTCAACCCTAAAGTGTTTCTGATAAACAGACAGGCGATAGGGGCTGGGCGGTCTTTCATTAACCATGTAAAAACTCATTTTAGCCCATGTTGACTCAACAAAATTATTTAAAAATATGAAAAAGTTGCAAAGAACCCCTTTAAAGCTAAAATCAGAAACTCTACCGAGAATCATTGTCTTGTTTTGTCTCAACAGAATAATTAGTCTGTAAATGAGTCATCCTACCTTGAAGGGTTTGCCATTGACGAGACTGGCCAAAGAGGAGCGAGGGATCTTCCCAGAGCGGGTTTTGGGTAACCCACGAACAAAAAGCACATTCCTAAAAGCGGCGACCGGTCCGATGGTGTCTCTCACAATCTTAACAATTTCATTTGTGATTTCATCTTTAGTTTTTTCCACACCTGAGTCACAAAACAAGAACAGATGTTGCATTAATGCGGCCTGCAAGGTGAGACCCAAACCAGGTTGTGTGGAAATAAAAAAAAAGTCCTCACCATTCTTAAGTACACACAACGCCAGAGGGACGTGACCTTTCAGTCTGTCCTCCAGACCGACCACAGCACAGTCTCCCACCGCCGAGTGCAGCAGCACCGACTTAAAATACATCAAAAAAAAGACATGTTTACAAACCTTTTCATCACATTTTCTGCCATTTGTTCTCCCACCTCCTCCAGTGCTCCTGCAGACAGCCTGTGACCTGCCACGTTGATCACATCATCAGACCGGGACATGATGTAAAGGAAGCCCTCTTCATCCAGAAACCCTGCATCCATGGTGTCATAGTATCCCTAAAAGGGAAGCACAACAATGCATTTTTAACAAGAGATGATTTTATTTTTAAAAATGGAGTAAAAAGCAGCAAGTAAGCAGAAATGTTCACATTTAAACACTAGAGGTCGACATTTTACCACAAATAGTCACAACATCATTTTTAGTGAGTGTCAGGGAGGGGAAGCTGATGGAGGACTTAGATTCCTACCGGGAACTTGGTGAAGTAGAGCTTCCTGAACAGATCCTGGTTTTGCCACAGGGACAAAGCTGCACCAGGTGGTAAAGGCAGCCTAACGGAAGGAGAGCAACATTAGTTTAGTCCCGTCGGGCAATAAAACATTCCTGCACTATTTTACACTCGAGAGGATTTTAATGCTGAAGATCTGCGTAGATTATTTTGTCTTTAATTCACAACAGATTTTCTTGACGTATAGCCAAGCTCGGGACGACCTTACTCGACCCATCGTGAGGCACCCAAACAAACACAACCCTCAGACAGGAAAGGTCATTAGGTCACTGTTTACAAAGAGACTCCCAGTAATCCCTCGTTCTCTCCAGTTCCTTTAAAGCTCTGAACCCTAAAGCCGACTCAAAAAAAAAAGAAGAAAGAAAACTGAATTGATTTTTACACCTCTGGTCCACAGACAAAGACTTCACCCCTACTTCATGTAGGAATGTTTGCCTTTCTCAAAAGAAAATATTAAAATTTCTTAAAACTTGCTGAAGAAGGGCTAAAATTTTTTTAAAATAAAGTGTATTTGTGTGCAGATTAACCCTTTGATTCATAATGGTCACTTTTTTTTGGCTATTAAGCACAGCTGTTGAAGACTTCATAGCATCTGAGCCCCTCCATTTGGACTTCAGTAAGTCAAGCCAACATATTTCATGTTCAGAATGCGCGCTGTCCACTGAGGTGGACATGTAATAAATTACTGGTAGATTATTAAATGTTACAAAAAATATTTGTTGAAATTTGTTTCATTCACACCTAAAGATGAATGAAAAAAATTGTTAAAAAAAATCATGGTTGACGATTTTTTAATTCATGCATCAAAGGATGAAGATAGATTCATTTTAGAGGAGACATAATATGTAAAAAATTACCTTTTGTACTACCTGGTGGGTCTCAACTGCCTCTTTAAACACTCCAAATGTGAGAAAAAGTCTTATTTATTGTGAATGTTTGGTTTTAGAAACTACCTGCCTGAACAACCCCCCTTCTCAGTGGCCTACTAGCACCAGTGTCCGCCCTGGGACTGGGAGATCCGTTGTCGGTACAAGGTCTGCTCGGGTGCAAGATCGGCTCGGGGTCCTTCGACTGCTGATGACATCAAAGTAGTTGATTGGCTGAACATGAACCTTACGGAATTACGTAATCACTTTAGGTTGTTATCACGTTACGTTGGTCCAGGCAAATCTTTCTGTTGGAAAGATGGACAACTTTTACAAAGAAATCCATCATTACCTCTTTGAAAATACACTTTTGGCATAGAGCTGCATGTATATTAGGGCTGAACGATTAATTTCATGTGCAATTAAATTGCGATGTGACAAGAGGAGATTTTCTAATTGTAAAAGCTGCAATTTGGCAGCGAGTGGTTAGCGCAATGCTAATATACATGGAAAAACCCATAGGAATGCTACTTCTGCTAATCACCGATTACATTCTTACAAATTATGAATTAGAAACGTGCCAAATGATTACATTTGGAGTCTAATAGAAAGTAAAACTACCATCAATCAAATAAGTACAGACAGGTATTTTAGTAAAGCCAGAAAACTTTTAACTCCAGAGTTTTGGCTAGCAGCTATGAGCGTAACTGAACTACACATGGACAAGACGTCAAAAACTCTAAACACAAAATACTTCAATAAACGGGACACACTTCTTTCCTGCAAATACAATTTCACAGGTGTTGCTAATACCTGTGATCCTTCAAGGGATGTGCTCAAAGAGGAGTTCAACATAATGAATACAATATAGTGTTTTATTTTACAAATACCATTATAAACACAAACTTACGTCTTAAGAAACATTATTTTAATAACGAAACTGCTAAATTCTTTCCAACAGTATAGATGTGTAGTGTATTTTGTCCGAGTGGGTTTGCCGTACTTTGACGTCATTGGCAGTCGAAGGACCCCGAGCAGATCCTGTACCGACACCGGGTTCAAATTTGGTCGGGCCATACCAAAGACTTTAAAGTGGAACTAAACGGCTCCCCACTTGATACTCAGCGTAAAGGGGTTGGCTTGAGGGATTAAACCACCAAATAGTTCCTGAGAGCAGTTACTGCTTCCAACTGGCGTGGGCCAAATGTGGAGATGTAATTTCACCAGTGTGTGGTGATGACGAATGGGAATTTAACTTTTAAACAAACTGTTTCAAACGTCCCCGTTTGTGATGTCACAAATGATAAAACTAGCATAAAAGTGCCTCATGTGCAAAAGAAAGCTGCTGCTGGAGGAGCAACAGCTCTAGTCCAAGCACAACCCCCACCCCAACCCCCCCCCCCCCCCAGGAACCGGAGCTTCTAAGCTTATAGTAGCCTGTTATGGGGATGAGCGGGCATGGCCAACTCCAGCTTATTTTCTTAAAGTCTTGAAATGGATCATTCTGGAAGGAACTGAAATGTCAAGAACTAAACTGACGAAATCGCTTACATGAAGAGAATTCAGTACAACGAACTTCATGCGCATGTTCTGTATCGACGGTAGAACTTTTATTGCTTTAGAAAAAGTTCTAAATGTGTCTCCACCAAGAACTATGAAAAGGTACTTTTAGGCACTTCTCTTCTTTCTACTTTAAATTAAAAAAAACAAGAGCTGAAGCAAATCCTAACAGGTTTCCTTCAAGCTCTTTGGCGATGCTGAGGTTGCAGTTTGGAGATGAAATGGATGCAGATTTCAGACTTCCTTCTAATACAAAGAAAACTAACACAGCTGTTCATGTCAGTTTGAAACAGCTCGCCCTCTGTCACTCGATGCACTGTAGATTGGACCCCCACCACCACCACTGAGTCATTACCAGCATTTAGAAAGAGCGGGGAATTGAAGTTTGGGGGTGGGGGGTGATAACAGATAGATGGCAGACTGGAGGAGAGAACAGCAGCTTTCATTCGACCCCACTTTAGCTTTTTTTCTGTTTGATTTAAACAGTTTTCCACGTCCTTGTAGTCTTACCTCACTACGATATTTCCCAGAGTTCTCGGCTTCACCTTCTGCAGGTCGCCATCGATCACCGTGACTAAAGCAAATGAGAGAAGAGACTAAAACTAAATCTGTTTATTTCACTCTAGTAAACAGAGAACATTAAACCACAAACACTTCCATTGTTGATTGTACAGAAGTGAAAATGGAGCAGGAAAAAGAAAGTCTTATAAAGCACCGCCCCTTTTCATGGCCGTCTGCGTTAAATGACCTTACAGTCAAAGATGCAAATAATATGAATCCATTACTTTAACTCAGAAATACATAAAACATTGTAATGCTATTGTAATGAAGTGTTTAACTGATTCATAGTTGAGCATTTCTTATCTCCTCATCCAAATTGTTCCACAGTTTTACTCCATACACTGAGATTTGGTTAAGGTGGTATGAACAATTGTACTTCTGAAATCCTACTTCTTTCCATTACGTCTCTCACTTTATCTCAAAACCAAAAACCTCTGGAAATGACCCGGTATTAGTCTTATTCTAGCTTTAAACACAACTAATAGGATTTTAAAATTGACCAAGCCCCTTCATTTCTAAGTATTATTTAGGCTCTTTGAAATTCTCCTGACTTCCTTTTGCTTTACAAACAGAGGATTACAGCTGATTTTACACTTAGAAGATCTGTGTTGATTTAAGAATCACATGTAAACCAAATATCTGTTTTTTTCTTACCATTATAACCTGGAACTGGTTTCCCAGCCTGGCCTGCAGGAGGCGAGAGCGAGTTTCCCAAACCGATGCAGGAGGCAGTAATGGAAGAGCCGGTCTCTAATGACACACACGCACACACACGCACACACACACACACACAAAAGCGTCATTCACATTCGTTTTCCATACCTTCAAGTTAAAGACAGATTAAATTATTTCTATTTTGAATCAACATTTATTTACACGTTTCCAAAAAGCGTCATCTACGTTTACACAGAACTATGACGACTCCAACAGCCTCTCTCTCCAGCTCCACATTGGAACTTAAGCTTCCTTCACAGCAGACGCACGCTTGCCTGGTGGGGCAGCTCGCCCTCCCATCAAAGGGATAACCCTGTCAATCCAGCTCAGCAGGGGAGACTACATCAGATACAGCAGCGGAGCGCCTCAGCGTCAGCATCTTCCTGCCGTGTTAAACTCAAATCCCTGTTCTGTAAAGAGACGGTCATCCTCATCGACCCGTGTTGGCTCATCAGTTTCTGTACATGTTTTTATTTCTTGAAGAGCAAAACTTAGTTGCAACCGTTCACCCATTTTCCTGAGTTTCAATGCAAAACATTAACTTTCTGTAAAGTATTAACAGCAAGAGACCTTTAAACCTGTTCTTATGCATCGGGCCTTCTGCTAAACAAGTTAATGATGCTGATGTGTTCTCTGAAAGGGTCAAAGCTAACAGGGAACACATTTAAACTAACACTGCTTTGGAAAGGTCATTTCAATCAAAAAAAGCAATATTGTGCAAATAACAAAACATTTAACCTTGAGCAAAACTCGTTCTACAGGAGACTTTACAAGGGTAAACCTGTCAGCTAAAACCAGGAAAAACAGGACAACAGGGAACCAAGGTGTGGGATCAGATGATCACATGTTTGAAAAGTGAATTCAACGAGGCTAAATAATCTCAAGCTTCTGTTGGCCTCCTATAGCGGTAAATGGGAGCGATCCTCCCGCTGCTCAAGTCAAACAGCTGCAAACAGATATAGACGTATTCTACTTCTGCTCAGTCAGAGGCAGCAGGCTGCAAAAACAGTCAGTCAGAGGCAGCAGGCTGCAAAAACAGTCAGTCAGAGGCAGCAGGCTGCAAAAACAGTCAGTCAGAGGCAGCAGGCTGCAAAAACAGTCAGTCAGAGGCGGAAAGCTGCAAAAACGGTCAGTCAGAGGCGGAAAGCTGCAAAAACGGTCAGTCAGAGGCGGAAAGCTGCAAAAACGGTCAGTCAGAGGCAGCAGGCTGCAAAAACAGTCAGTCAGAGGCAGCAGGCTGCAAAAACAGTCAGTCAGAGGCGGAAAGCTGCAAAAACGGTCAGTCAGAGGCGGAAAGCTGCAAAAACGGTCAGTCAGAGGCGGAAAGCTGCAAAAACGGTCAGTCAGAGGCGGAAAGCTGCAAAAACGGTCAGTCAGAGGCGGAAAGCTGCAAAAACGGTCAGTCAGAGGCAGCGGGCATCAAAAACAGAAAGTCAAGCCCAACAGAAGCATTCAGACCAGATTTGTATTAATTTAAGGGTATTTAGTCTCACTCCGCTGCTTACAAAAGGAGCAAAAAGAAAACGGCAACAGAAAAAGAGCCGGTGCTTCAGCCTATTATAGTTAAGAAGTAGTTCAGTTCTTTAAAATGCCCAGATAAGAAGCCCTGGATAAGGGATGAAGTATCCCTGTCCCCCAACGGCCATTGTATCCTGCCTGTTTAAGTCGTTACCCTTCTTCAGCTCACCTGGTTTTGATCAGCAGAAGATTAACAGGCTTCTGCAGAGCCTGATGAGCTGCTGAACTGGTGAGCCAACCACTGAATCAGGAGCAGTGGAGCATTTGGCAGACGCTTTCATCCAAAGCAACGTACAATCGTTACACTATAGGGCATGTTGAGATCTGTGGGGGAAACCAGAGTGCCCGGAGGAAACCCACGCATGCATGGGGAGAACATGCAACTCCACGCAGAATGGCCGCAGCCGAGTTTCGAACCTGCAACCTCCTTGCTGCGAGGCAACAATGCTACTACCATGCAGGGTAACAACTAAATCGTGCAGGATACCGGCCCTAGCGGACCAGCGTTCCCTACCCCTACCCTAGATGATTATCTTACTGCAGTAAAAAAAAAAACTAATTGTATTTACTTTGTAAAAATGCATTATAGAGTTTTGTGTTTTAATGTTTGACATTTTTGCATTTTTAATACCAAAAACTGATCGTATGTTTGGCAGTTTTTCTGCAGCAAACACATATTCGTGAAACTTTGTGCATTAATGCCGTTATAACTGAATAGACTGTGTTGAATTGGAAAAATTTGATGCATTACTGTGAGAAGTCAAAGATAAAATGTATGTAGATCTGGGAAATTATTTATTTAGAGACAGGCGGATTGGTTCGGCGTCTGCAGTGATGCAGATGCTGAGCGGATCTGTCGTGATGAAGAGGGAGCTGAGCCAGAAAGCCAGACTCTCGATTTACCGGTCGATCTACGTCCCAATCCTCACCTATGGTCATGAGCTTTGGGTAACGACCGAAAGAACGAGATTGCGGATACAAGCGGCCGAAATGAGTTTCCTCCGTAGGGTGGCCGGGCTCAGCCTTAGAGATAGGGTGAGGAGCTCGGACATTCGGGAGGGACTCGGAGTAGAACCGCTGCTCCTCCGGATCGAAAGGAGTCAGTTGAGGTGGTTTGGGCATCTGGTCAGGATGTCTCCTGGCGCCTCCCTGGGGAGGTGTTTCGGGCATGTCCTGCCGGCAGGAGGCCCCCGGGTCGACCCAGGACACGTTGGAGAGGTTACATCTCCAATCTGGTCCGGGAACGCCTTGGGGTCCTGCCGGAGGAGCTGGTGGAGAAGGCCGGGGAGAGGACGGTCTGGAGCTCCCTAGTTGGGATGCTGCCCCCGCGACCCGGACCCGGATAAGCGGAGGAAGACGACGACGACGAGACGTGACACTTAAAGCAAGGTTTACTTTAGAGAGCTTTACAGATGAGTGTGTTGTTATTGAGTAAAAAATAAAAATCTGAATGTCTGATGCTGCTTTGTTGTTTTCTTGATGATGAAACAAATGTAGGAAAAGCCGTGTTTGAGCCTAGCCCAGAAGGATGCTGAACACATCCTTTTAAAGCTCTCTTGAGCTGCACATCGATTAGAGCTTGACCCAACATCTGAACCATGTCGGCGTGACCGGGGGGTGCTTCAACCTGGCTGTTTACAGCAGCAGTCAGCGCCCAGCTGGCACACACTCAAGGCTGGCCAGTGAGCTTCAAATTTAAGTAAAAAGGACAAAACAATCGGGCCTTGGCATTTTACAAAGTGTGCAGCAAGACTAAACAGGCTCTGCTTCCCAGAAAGAAATCACACTAAATGATGACTTCATTGTGATTTCTACTTCCTGAATCTTCCAGCAGCCAACCAATCAGCTGGTCTGTAGATTAAATAAGCCTCTGATGTCAAATGTGACTTTATTCACTTGAAATTTTTGATGTTTTGAGTTGCTTTGGATGGATTTTTGTTTTTGAATGAGCAATCCAAGCAGGACCAAATGAGAATGTATCCTGATTCTGATACTGAAACTCTAATTTCCCCCTGGGATTAATAAAGTATTGATTGATTGATTGACTGATTGATTGATTCTCCAAACTGAGATCACTGACTGTTATCTGCAGCAGGTTAGAAACTTACGCCACACAATCATAAATAGAAAAAGATCTGAACTTTTGTTTTTCTTCATTTTGGGAAATCAAAACTACGGAAGCTCATTGCCTTCAAGGTGGGGAAAAGACTTTAGGAACAGTATCTTATAATAATGAGCAAGTTTTTCATTATAGCGTGATCTAAAGCTTGCTCCCACAAGAACGTTTCTCTAAATAAAGAGTTTAATAACTCACAATAACAGGATGGTTCTAAAGGGTGAAACACTGAATCTCTGCAGACTCAACGAGAGCTTCTCAATGCCTTTTTAAAAAGCTTTCATTTGTCAGAGGAACATATTCCTCCATACTTCAGTCGGGTCATCCTTCGCTTTGAAATCCAACTTTAAAAGTAAAAGTTCCTGTTCATGTTTTTTCACATTAAAAATGTTTTACGATTAAAATTATATACAAACAAATCTATAATCTTCTATTTTTAAATTAGACAGTCTCTGTGTGGGGGATATCTGTGTGTGTGTGTGTGTGTGTGGGGGGGGGGGGGGGGGGGGGGTTGTTACGCTGTTACATTTAAACACAACCATCTGGGTAACGGGGTGAACATGGCAGAGAGCCAGCGAGTATAATTTGTTGAATTAAGCACCGTTGTTGGGCGGTTTCCCTCTCATTGTTGCAACACTTCTGATGCTGTTCTTCCTAAAAGTTAGAGACTATTACTACTAGGGCTGCTCAATTAATCGAATTTTAATCACGATTACGATCTGAGTTTTGAACGATTATAAAAAACATAACAAGCCGATTATTTGCTCCTCCCGCTTGCGCTGCCCTGAGTTGCAAATGAAGCGCTCCTCCACAGTGTTGCTAATTTAGCGACTTTGACGCTATTTCTAGCAGCTTTTCAGACCCTCTTCTTGACTTTTTAATCCTAAAAGTACCTAGCGAACACCTGAGAAACATCTCTGGTGACCCTTAGCTACTTTCTGGATAACTGTCGTCGACATTTCCTGCAGGTTAGCTAAACACTCCGCCTGTGCTCCGGACCGTTCTTCACAACATTAGGAAAGGGAATGATGCAGTGATGTGTCGGTCGCTAAAGACAGCTCTCGGAGCCGGCTCCCTGTTGGATTAACCAGAGTGAGTGACACACACACCGCACCTTCGGACTCCTGAGCAGCTAAAAACAGCTAAATGTGCGCGTGCAGCGTGCTAAACACACGTGCAGCTTGCCCCGATTGCTGTGAGACCGGGGTGGGGGGGTGGGGGGTGCAGCTGTGGTCGGGACAATTATTACATTAACTGATGGACCTGTAAATAAATAGTTTATAAATAAGGTAGAAATAAGTTCCTCACGCTGATAACTAATCTCTCTGAGGACACAGTCCTACAGCACCTTGACACGACTCAATAAATGTTATGCAACATTTTGTGAACATCAATTTATTTG